GGAGGGGGGAAAGGGGCGGGGAAATGGCGGCCGTGGCGGGGCGAAGAGGAAGGGGCGGAACGAGGAGGACGGGGCGGGAAAATGGCGGCGGCGGCGGGGCGAAGAGGATGAGGAGGAGCGAGGAGGAGGACGGGGCGGGGAAATGGCGGATGCGGCGCGAAGGGACGGGGCAGAGCGGAGCAAGGAGGACGACGGCGGGATGAGAGGAGGGAGGCGGAGCGAAGGCGACGGGGCGGGGAAATGGCCGCCGTGGGGATGGCGGCAGCTGCCCCCTGCGGGCGGCGGTGTCGCGGCCGCGCAGCAGCTCCCTCGGCTCGGTAACGGCGCTGGCGGCCTCTCCACCCGCCGCTCCTGTGCGGAGAAACGGGGAAAATGGATTGGGATGCGAGGGCATCGCTTGGTGAAACGAGGTTCCTGTTTAAATTGTACCACTGAAGAGAAAAATATTAAGAATTGGCCACCTAAAATACGAGCTGCATTCTTATATGCACAGCCAGCTTCTGGGTTATCACAGTGCTCACTGTGTAGCTGTAAAGGGGTGGTCTCACTTACATACAGTCTCTCCTTCGGGGGAGCCTTGGGGAAAATGCACTGCAAATATTTACACAAATTGCCGGGAGCTGCTTTTCCAAACAGCGGAATATGCGTGCGTTGTGCGGGGCACGGACAACGAGCCCGCGCTTCCTGCAAGGCGGCGCCTTTCCACTGCGCTCTCCGGAAAAACATGGAGCACGCACACGGTGGTGGATCCCCCCCGAAACATCCCGGATAAACATGGAGCACGCACACGGTGGTGGATCCCCCTGGAATATCCCGGCACTGCCCATCTGATGCAGCTCCCACCAGGCTCTCAGACATCCAGAAATCCTGCGCGGTTTCCCCGTTCCGCCGCTCCGTTCCACATTCCCAGGCACGCAGCAGCCTTGTGCTGAGCAGCTGGCCCTTTCACATTCACAGTTACCTGACAGTCCAAGATAAATTTCAACAGTTCAACCGCTCTCAGAATGTACCTAAGGAAAAGAAAAATCTGGATAGAGAAAAAAAAGGAGTGTTTTTATTTCCCTCTCTCTCAACCTGGTCTGAAGTGGCAGCAATAGCCAGGGCCTACGAGCAATATTGAGAGCTGCAATGATATTCCCTTGTGCTAGGGTGCCTGGTGTGCCAAGTCCACTGAGTTGGAGGCCACACGAAGGTCTTTATTTAATTCTGCATCAAATGAGTGCTCGGTGATCCTTTGCAAGCACCTCCACAGCAGTTGGCTGGTCCTATTTAGCTGGAGGTGATTATGGAAATTTCTACTTGTTAGTGTATGACTGGTTAGTTGGCTTATGTATTTTCTTATCTACACGAGCATGTGTGTTATGTAGGTTTTCTCTGTTTCAGACACTGGGGGGCAGTCATTATTATCATATTAATGGCTAATAATAATTAACATACTAATTTTTAGTATGTTAAGCTTAAACAGGCTTAGGTTACCTCACCTCTATAGCTGATCCATTCTGCTTTGTCTCTGCATATGGGCAGGCCTTGCCCTCTCGTGCTGTTACGAGGTTGAATGTTTCATTTTTTTTTTTTTTATCTCAAGGGCTACAGCAATGGGCCACAAGTTGGGGACTACTGTTCTAAAAGCATCAGGCCTATCTGCAGATGTAAGACTGCAGCACCTGTAACGAACAGCAATGGCTGGTCAAAAGGACAATCAGATAAAGCTGGATATTTTTGGAGCTCGTAAGTGATATTCACTTTATAGAAAGTCACACAGCTTTTATTTTCATTCTAGCCTTAGTAAATGACAGCATACTACCTTGCAATCATCCCTTTCATCTGTTCTGAAATGAACTGCCAAGAGGAGAAGGCATGCACAAGAAAGTTTTGAGTTTTATGAGAAACACTCAAAAGGAGTGTTCCTGTATCATGGTAAATAAATGACCTGAAGCTCAAAGGGAACCCTCCAAATTCGGCAATTTTCAAAATTGCAGAAGTGTCTATAAGACAGCAACTAAAGACCTTCAATAAAGAGTTGTGTGCAGGCAAACGTGCAGAAGCTCCGCGGGCTTTCCTTGACTCGTTCCTGCCACGAACACCCTCTGTGCCAGCTGCCCGCTTGCGCCTGCACCTCGCAGAAGGCAGCAGCCTATCTACAAGCTACTGCAGGCCCATTTTCTCCCCACGCCCTCTGCTTCACTTCTCTCACCTATTTCCCGCTGCATTCTAGTTCCCCCTCGGCAGCTGCTGCCCGCCCTGCTTGCCTGCTCACTCCAGGTTGGCCTCTTGGCCTGGAATAGTGACTAATGGGAACGGGGAGACGCGGCTTGTGCCAGCTTCCCGCCGCTCCCGCCCGGCTGCCGTCCCTGGCGCGAGGCCGGCGCTGCAGGAAACGCTCTTTGAGGAGCCGCTGCCGCTATTCCCAGGTCCGAGGGTTGAACTCATGGCTCCAGAGAGACGGCTTCTGCCCACAACCGCAGAAAACGGTCATTTGCTTTAGTTCAGATGACTTGAATGAACACGGAAGAAAAAGATCCACTTTTAAAGTGTTTATGCATGGAGATTACAAAAAGCAAAACAGTCGAGGCGGTTACATAAGAGACATTAATTTTGAAAGCAAAATCACCAGAAGATCAGTGCTGCATGGACATTTTTCCATATGCCCAAGCCTGCTTTAAGAGTGCTCTGAAATGTGTCCAGTTTTAAAGATTAAAAAAGGGTGGAAATTATTTTAATTAATTTTATCTTTTTTTTTTAATTAAACTTTAGTATATACAGCACCTCCAGAAAATAATCTAGTCCCCAGTCCCTGTGTCTGTCTGAAAAGTCATCGACTGTTTGAAGACACTTAATTTCACACTGGTTTCCTGAAAAGGAAGAAAGAATAGTGTATTATTGTACCATCAGTCATGGGAAAAAAAAAAAGCAAACTATCAGGAAAAACATATGTTTTGATAGTGCCTAACACAAATGGGCTGAGCAGAGCTTGGTAGTTTCTCTTGCAGTAGCATAGCACGGTCAGTGCCAACAACAAACTGCATGGGTACTGTGGCGGTCTCAGCAAGGCATAAACTTAAAAGAACTGAGTGCAATATCAAGGCATGCTGTGAAGTATGTTTAAAATTAAATTCCGGCAGTTATTCTGACTTTCCTTATTTTGGTGGATTTAAGTTATATACATTTAATGTTTCCTTTAGGAGAGGATTTTATTTTTCCTCTTCAGGTCTAAAAGCACAGCAGAAACTGCAGAACTAATATGCAAAGGTACTAACACTGGGGATGCTTGTGATGAGGAGCAGAGAAAGCTGAGGTTGGTTGTTAAATAGGCCTAAGGCTTCCATGCCTCATACCTCGTACCTTCTGAAAGTCTCTCTGAGCCGAGACTTTTCCTTAACCACAGAATCCTTCTGGAAAAATTAGACTTATTTCCCCCCTGTTATTTTTTCCATTACTCCACCTCTTATGTAAGAGGTGAATAAATGAGTCAGGATCACTCGCTGCTGGGTGAGACAGACGCGCACTGGCGTATTTGCGAGCTCTGGAAAAATCCGCAGCGCCAGCCAAAAGATAACAACTCACCAAACAGGCTTCTCATCTCGCCCTCGGGAACGTAGAACGGTGGGCCTGGAAAGCGAACGGGAGAGCGGGTCAGAGAGAAGGGCAAGGGAGGCGGCGACCACCCTCCGCAGCAGCCGCAGGCAGGGTCTACAGCGAGGCCCAGGGTGGCATCGCCAGGTTGTTCCCGGGAGCATCGCCCGGCAGCTCCTGGGAACATCATCCAGCGGCTCCCGGGAGCATCGCCCGGTGGCTCCAGGAGCCCGGGCCAGGCTACTTGCACTGGAGCCGTGCTGTTGGAAGAGGACATTCAAGGCTATGCCAAGGACACGAGCGCTCGCTGCGCTGTGTGAGCATCGAGCCAACAATCCCGTTACACTGAATGTCGTAATTAAAGCGGAATGGGAAGGAGAGCATTGGGTTAAACTTCTGTGGCAGAAGTTTATGGCTTTCTTAAGAAGAAGTTCTTAACGGCAGCAAGACCTGTGCTTTGAAGGGTAATTGAGAAATCCAGAATTGACGAGAAACTGGTTTGAGAGCTAAGCAAAAAGACTTGACTCCTCCTCCAAGCTTTGGTATATAATAAAAGTTATGCAATGCTCAAGTACTTTATGGCTTTACAGAATTTCACCTTTTGCAGGCATATTCAGACCTGGCCATGACTGGGGTTGGAAGCGAGACATGAGATGAGCAACACATTTGGTTGCGAGTATTGAGCAATGACCCATCATAGTTAGATGGTGTTGGGAATGCCTCCCAAGGAGGGTGCCAAGGAGGGATAGGACATTCAGTGTGTTAATGCACCATGTCTGTCCTCCACTTGCTCTTAGCACACCTGGACACCACAGAAAAAGCTAATTTAGTCTCAAGTTTGGTCGACAGCTTTTTTTTTTTTTTTTTTCCCACAACTGTATTGGTGTGATTTGCTAACATAGCCACATTGATAAAAGCACTGGGGAAGATACTAATGTATCAGTCATATCTATATACAATTTATACTAAGGCATGCAAAATCAAAACACGAACAGCACGAAGTTATTACCTTTGTGTTTGTTTGGATCATACAGAACGGTAACGAGGAGGTAAGAAGAATTTTTCTCCATTAGGGAGATCATCAAACTGGCGTAGCTGAAAGGAGATAGTTACATTCTGCTATTTTGGAACTGTATGAACATTTAAGCATAGCATTCAAAATACTCAAAAAGCACAAAAGGCAGCATGATGCATTCCTATGCAGAGACAAGTTCAACTGAAATGCACAGAAAATAAGCAGATATAGATAAGCATGAAACTCACACAATACATCTTGAGTGTTACTGTATACTTCAAATAAACAAGCATTTTTCTCAGCTAACAAACAGATAAAATAGAATTTCTGTCGCAAGCTATAACTACTACACAACAAAGTACAGAGCTTTTAAAATTATTGTGAAATCAAGACCCTATATCTACTTAAAAAGCCCTGCTCGTAGGACCAAACCAAATTTGGGTGGGCTACAGGCAAGGAGGAAGAACTGAAATAAAGGGAAGTGCGGCTAAGAAGAACAAAGGCAGGGAGGAGAAGCAGAGGGAGTGAAAAGGAAATAATACAATTCAGATGAGACTTGCAGCCCTGCTTCTGCTGGGTTGGAAGAAACCACATATTTCCCCACCAAGAGGCAGGAGAGCTTCCTGAAGGAAGCTCGGAAGCGAGAGGGCTCTGCCACGGCAGCTGAGGCCTGCGGTGGGGAAGAGCCCGTAGGTTACGTGGAGAAATGAGGCAGGGCTCATCCGCATGAAGCAGGGGGAGAAAACCCCTCCGCACCAGGTATGTCACGGGAGTATCAACAGAGCAAGATTACTGACCGCTGTCTGTCGCATGGATTGACAGCCACGAGAGCTCCTCTGTCCCAGACCCCATCAAACTTGCCAATAATTGCACTGCAGGAAGAGGAGAGAAAGATTTAAAAATACTGCAGAAGCGCGTTTGTTTGTATGCAGATACTTCTGTGCAATCCCAAGGAACCTCTAGCCAGCTGTGCAGGTACCCCCGTAGCTGGTTTCTTGTTTGGGTTCGGCATCCTTTCAACCCAAAGCCTCGGGCAACCCGCCTGCCAGGAGGACATGGAGATGCTCAGCATTTCCCCACCACTTCATGGTGCCGAGACAAGGCCGCAAGGAAGAAATCCAGGCCAACATTCCTCTTCTGGGCCGCAAGCTCAGGGTTTTGGCAGTCGGGCCCTGCCGTGAGCCTTGCAGACAGCACCAACACACACGAGGATGTCCCCAGGTCTCAGCCACCTTCTTCAGTCTGCTCCAAGGCAGAGTAGGGAGGGCACCTTGTGGCACCGCTATCGCCGCACCCAGAGGTGCAGGACCCATCTGTTTCCAGCTGCATGCTCGGGACACGTAGCTTCAGGCTGAAATTTGTTTAATGTGAGAGCAGCTAAGTTACATTGCTGCTTGCCTTGGCCTAACCTATTCATAAATACTGTTATTTGCTTCTGGATGCACTAGCAAAGGGCCAAGGCTGTGGGGAGCTGCCTGTGCTAACGGCTGGCAAGAGCAGCCAAGGTGACACCAGAGATGAGGACGTCACAGCGGGGGAAGGATGAGTTTCACTGCTGGTAATCATTAAAACAGGAGTTTAGAGACTAGTGTAGAAATAAATTGCAAAATTTTAAAGCAAGTTAGAGAGAGGAAGTTTCCTTAAGAGGAAAACAGGGGATGGGATTGCACAAAACCTTCTTTTCCTAATGGGAGAGTCTATGAGCGTCTGGTTGCATCAGCTCCTGCATTGCGACAGCATCGCTGCGCGTTGGCACCTAACCTCGTGCTGATCCCGGACGTCCCACTAATGCGATGAGACACGATAAGGCTCTAAAGTCCTGACTTCTTTTAAAGCCTGCCAAGACGAAGGATCTAATTTAGATACCCAGTCTTAACTGAAAGGCGGTCTCTTTTAAAGAGACATAGAATTATGCAGTGAGGGCGAAGGGAGAGCGGCCAGCTCTGGCAGGGCACGTGCGGGACGTCTGGTTTGGACGCTGTTCTCCTCTCTGCACGGAGAAGCCCCTGCTGTTTTCTGCACCTAGTTTTTCTCCTCGGCCTTAATCTGGTCTAATCATAAAGACGGTGCTACAAGTATTAGTAAAAATTTACATGTCAAGTAAAAATGCACATATTAGCAATTAACAGCTTTACCGTCCAAATCCAGTGGGGTACTGTTAAAATCAGTGGGGCTGTCTCTACACATATTTAGGAGTTTTAGTTAATATTTAAAAAAAAATATAAAAAAAGACTGACAACCATAATTGTATTAGGACCCACAGTGGTTGTGTAATATAACTGTTTTACATACTTCCCAGGGTTCCCACGAAGAGCAGTAATTCCTGTTATTCATTAGCCACCGAAAGAGTCTTTGAAATGTCTCACTCTGACAAAGGTCATGAGCACATCCGAGCTCTCCTGCCTAATGAACGCTCGGCATCGAGATCAAAAGCACTTGCTTGCAGACCGGCCCCAGCAAGAGCAAAATAAGTTTAATTTCCGTAATTACTAGGGAATTAATCAAATTGTCTGTACATAGAAACTAGAACAGTGTGTGCATTTTTCTAGTCACAGGTATCTGCTGACTGTGCAGTGAGACTTGTATTTTCACCTTCAAATTCTTTGTAAGAACCATGCACCAGAACTTGCATCTGCCAATTTATTTTGTGGGTGACAAACTGCACTGGATCTGGAGATACACACTGACACATTGACTTTTTTTTTTTTTTTAATTACATATTTTCGGTTTATTTTATAATGTCACTCCAGTGTGCTATGATGGAAGTCATGAATTTTACTACGCGACTTGCTACTAAATTTAGAACTGAATTTTTCAAAAGCCGCTGACAAGAAGCTCGAGCATTTCCTGGGCAACCTGTCAACTTGCAGCAAGGAGGATTTAAAGGAATCTGCACAGCAAGGGCAAGGAGGAAACCACGCAGTGCCTACCAAGGCACTTCCACATTCCTGCCCATCTGTTCCAAGGCATCCATTTTTTGCAGGACTAGTCACATACACCCTGTTTAAGCCAAATGGAGTTGGCTACACTAGGAGGAATTTTAGCAATAAGTCCACTGTCTAAAAGACTCTGCTCTCTAGTAGTAAATATATATGTATTTTCTTTCTGCCTAAATTATGCAGTTTAAAAATGAGTATCATGAATGGGGAATGGCAGGGCAGGAGTCGCGGCACCTTCGGCTCCCTGCGAGACGCGGTGCCTCCGTGCAGCTCCGGGCACAAGCTGCCCTCTTGCACGGCCCCAGCTGGCCCCGCGCTGACCGTCTTTCAGCCTCAGCATCCTTTAAATGTTCCCATTGCCACCACCCCCAGAAACCTCCTGGGAAAGAGGAAACCAGCCAAATGCATTAATGTCTATGGCACAGGCCCCTGTGCCCGAGGCTGGACACAGTCCTGAGTCCTGCTGTGCTCTCCGTACAGCCCTGTGATTTTCAAGATTCCTCAGCAAGTAAAACGAGCAGAAAATTAGGTGCAAAGCCACCAGAAAACGCTGGGGCCAAAACTACACATTGAAACATGTCAGGACTTTATAGTGCTGACGGTTCTAAAGTTTTGGCATTTTCCATTGTGCTTTTTGACTGTGAAATAAGGGCCTTTGAGCACCAAGGAGCCCTTAGAAGACACCAGGAGGTCAGGCCACGTTTGCCACAATACTTGTGAAATCCATGTTTGACAACACAGGGTGTAGAGTGTCCTAACGCTGCAGGGATGCAACCTGCTTCTGGCCACTTGAGAAAGGCATGTTGAGTAAAGCAGGAGGTACTTAACTGAGGGACACAGCATGGATACTATGCATACATTAAAGAGACAGTCAAAGCAGAAGCTTCCCAAGAAGACACCTCCGGTTCCTCCTCGTTGCTTTTACTGAGCTACTCTGAATAAAGGGCTGTGTTTGAATTTTGCTTGTTAGAATCCATCAACAACATTAGATGTAATTGAGTTTTACTGTAAAAGCAGACGTGTTTTCCTATAATCTTAATGTGGCACCTTAGAACAAGCCCTTTTAAGATCTGTAGTTGATATCTTTATCTAACGGACAACAACACAGTTAAATTTTGAGGAATGCTGGCTATTCACATTTACCATAGAAGTCAATAGGAGTTTTCTTGAGAGGGCTTGTTCCAAACCACCACGTCTAGTTCATATAAAATCATTTAGCAGCGTTAATACACGTTTGACTATAGAGAACTGTAGAACACAATGCGCATTCCTACCTGGACAAGTCATAAATACTGCAGCAGTACAGAGAAATGTTCCCACACGTGCTCTACAACAAAAGCAAGGGAAACGGTGTTTAGCGAATTGTGTGTTTAAATATGCACTTAGGTTAATGGGGAGAAACCGCGGGGTGCAACATTCTCCCCCGTGCTTTCCCGAGCCCCCTCTCCCGCGCGCCGCCCTGGAGCTCCCAGTGTGCGGAGGCTGCAGGACGGAGCCGGGGCCGCGTGCGTACGGACAGGATGGAGCCGGGGCCGCGGGACGTACCTGCAGCAGCCGGGCGCCCGGGACCCCCGGCACGGCCTCCTCGCGGTAGGGCAGCCCCTGCTTGCTGAAGAACTCCCGCAGCGCCCGCTCGCTGATCTCCGCACCGACCACGCGGTGCCCCAGGTCCGCCAGCCTGCGGCCGCCACCGGGAGCACCCGGTCAGCACAAAACACCCTCCCAACGGCACGCGCTCCTAGAGAAACGCTCCCGCCTCCCCGCTTTGGGGGGTACCGCTGTGCCCGACTTACTGGAGTTGTCACGTTTTATTGACAACTTGCCTCGTGGGAGCCAGGTTTAAATTAGCACCACTCGGATTGGGGTGTTTTTATTAAATTTGGGTCACTTTCCCAGCACGATGTGGCAGCTGCCTCCACAAACAGGCACTCTGGCACAACTGGTCTCGCCACGAGCAACTTAGGCCACCAAAGGAAGCACCAGGGCCTTCAGCAGCAAAGCAGCGGGCAGACCTGGGACAAGGAGCAGGGCTTCCAGGTTATTCCTTAACCATCCCACCCACGCGACTATGCAAAAAGTCAGTAAACGTGTGAGTAAATTTCCTGCTCCCATTGCTGCTCCACAAGGCTGCAGTGCTGCCAGCTGAGCCCGCTCCACAGGCCAGGCCTGGGATTTCCCCTTCTCCCTTCCTCCCTTCCCCCAACAACTTGTTTCCTTTTTTTTTTCCCTCTGTGTTTTACCATTTCATTTCTACTGCTTTACCACAAAGTGGGAAAAATATCCTGAGTCCGCTGCGGCCGTTCACGAGGACATCCAGATACTTCTGTAGGAGCCTGCAGAAGAGAGGGCGCCTGTCGGTGAGCGCCGGGGCCGCGCGCTCGGAGCCGGGGCCACGGGCCATGCCAGGCGGCACACACGCTCCGTGAAAGGCTGCATCCCTCATTTCTGGCTGCTCAATACAATTAGGAGTAAAAGCAGCACAGGAAACCCTTCACCTTGCATTTGCTCCGAAACAAAACGGATTGTATTTCTGTTAGGAAGGAGCGCACCTGACTCTTAAGGTAAGCAGCCAAATGAGACCATCTCTAGGAGGGCCATGCCAGGTTACTTTTATGGAATCATAATTAAACCTCCGTATCAATCAAAGCACCCGCATATGTCTGAAACATGATTTTCCTTGACAGCAAAAGCGTGGAATGGCTTTTGCCCTGTCCTTATGGTGCCCCATGCCCTCTGCACACTTTAGGCCCTGAGTTCACAACTCTTAGACAGAAACACAGAGCTTTGTGGTTTAAAACCCACTGAAAGGAGTAAAAGCTGTAAGAGCAACACAACCCTTTTTTTTGTTTCCCCTCTGCTTTATGACAAATGTGGGTCACAAAATGATCTGTACTTAATCCAGCTTCAAGCTGCGCCCACGTAAAGGATTTTCCCTTCCCATGCGCTGCGTTTTCACCCTGGGCTTCACAAACAGGGCCGAGCCACTCGCCCCATCCCAGGCTCCGGCAGCGCGGGGCTTACGTACGGGTGCCCTCGCTCCTTATGGAATCCCGTTTTTCCCGCTGCCCATTTCTGCAGCCACTCCTCAGCGGGCACCACTCTGTCCTGCTGCACTCCGGCCTCCTCCGCGCTCCCCGGTGCCGCCATGGTCCCGTCCAGTGATCCGTGGCACCTGCGCAAAAAGTACAATACAATAAGATAAAATAAGATAAGATAAGATAAAATAAAATAAAATAAAATAAAATAAAATAAAATAAAATAAGATAAAATAAAATAAAATAAAATAAAATAAAATAAAATAAAATAACAGTGACACAGGGTAAAATAAGAGAAAATAGGATAGAGTAAAATAAAATATGAGAAAATAAGATAGAGTAGAATAGGAGAAAACGGAGCAAAATGAAAGGAATAACCCGGAACCGGAGCGGCCGCTCGGCGGGGCTGCCGAGCCGCGCAGGGACGACGCTGGAGCGGCGGCTGCGCCGAGGCCCCGCTCGCCCGGCGTTGGGGGGGATAAAAGCATGAAACACTATAACTACATAATAATCTATATGTATGTATGTGTGTGTGTGTTGCCTACGCAGGGGTGCGCGCGGCCGCGCGCGTGTCCGTGTCCGTGTCCGTGTCCGCGCCGGGCGCCGCCCCGCGCTCCCGCCCCTCGCGACGCGGCGCCCGGAGCGGAAGCGGCCGCGGGAGGGGGCGGGCGGAGGGCGCCGGCGCCGGCGGCAGCAGGAGCAGCAGGACGGGGAGCAGGAGGAGGAGGAGGAGGATGGTGGCGGTGTCTGTGTCGGTGTCGGTGAGTGAGCCCCTGCCGCCGCGGCCCGCGCCCCGGGGCGGCGCTGCCCCGCGCGGCTCTCGCGGCCGCGCTCACCCTCCCTCCCTCCCTCCCGTTCTCCCCGCTGCAGCGCTAGCGGAGGCGGCGCGGACACGCGTGGATGTGGTCGCCGGCCCCGGACTCCGGCGGCGCCAGGTGAGGGCTGCGCGTCACCCCCGCTCCGGAGCCGCGGCTTCCCACGCGCCCCACGGGAGCGCGTCCCGGCGCGGCCGCTGTCAGCGCGCAGGCCGGCACCGGGAATGCGGCGCGGGAAGGGGCGCGGGGGGCTGCGCTGCCCCCGGAGCTGCTGCCCTCGCTCGGCCAGAGGGGCCGGGGCCCCCGGCCTCCCGTCCATGTCCTTCTCTTTCCTGCGCCTGTTTCTTCTCTCCCCACCTCTCTCTCTCTCTTTTTTTTCCTTTTCCTTCCTGTATCCCTCAATTCCAATTCTGTCTCGTTTCTGTAGGGCGAGCTCGCTGTCAGCCATGCCCGTCCACCCCGCGACGCGCTGCGGGCGGGCGAGAGGCTACAGCCGCCCCGGCGCCTTCCCTTCCCTTCCCTTCCCTTCCCTTCCCTTCCCTTCCCTTCCCTTCCCTTCCCTTCCCTTCCCTTCCCGCAAAGGGGGGTTTCCTCAGGACGAGGCTGTGGTTGGGGGGCCGCGGTTGTGGGGCGCAGCGCCGCGGTAAGCTCCGTGCAGTAAGCGGTGTTCGCTTGTGGCTTCACACGCTGTGGGGTGGGATTTGCTGCCCCTTTTGGGAAAGGGAGATGGGGACGAAGTTGCATCCAACTGGATACAAGGGCCTTTCTGGCAGATAAACCGGCAAACTGGCCCTGTTCTTTCTCTCGCCCTCTTTTTCTCCAATATTTTTTCTTATAGCAGAAAAACATCCGTGATCCCACAGGAGCGGCCTGGCCTGCTGGAACCATGAATTGTCACTTGGTGATTTTAGTGGATGTTAACGGCCCCGCTTCCCGCTCCGTGCGCCGCAGGCTCCGCGCTGGGGCTGCAGAGCAGCAGCGTTGAGGGCCTGTCCTCCAGCGGCGGGACATAAAGCAACGCCGGGAGCTGCGGCCCTGCTCCCGAGGCGAAATACAAGGGAAAAGAGGCGCCGTTTCCTGCGGGATTCCGCAGCAGCGCCGGGGATCTCCTGCGTGGCAACGGGCTGCTTTTCCTTTCCGCGCGCCCCAGCAGCGCGGCCGCCCCCGCGCAGGGGTAGCTGGTTAGCTGCCTGCGCCGCTGCCGGGCGCTGCGCAGGGAACATCAGCGTAATGCGCTTCCCTCCCAGCACCCTGCTAGGCGGCAGTTGCCTTTGCATCCAAAAAAAAAAGGGAAGTTAATTCTTGTATTGGCTTGTCCGCACTCCCTTTTCTTCCCACTTATGTGGATAAGGTGTGATTTATTTATTTTTCTCCCCAACTCCTCCCTAATCAGCATCTCCCCTCTTGGGCGGGGAATAATGCCCGGGTTTGCTGGGTTCGCGCCGGCCTCGTGTGGAGGTTTGTGACGGTGTCGCTCTGCCCCCCGGCCGCCTTGGCGAAGCCCCACAGGCCACTCCTGCCCGCTCGCGATTCGGGGCTGCGGCGCGAGCCCCAGCCGGGACCTCGTGCAGGGCTGCGTTTGCCTCCCACCTCCTTTCCGTGTGCGGGGAGACCTTTTAGGTTTAATCCTTGCGCTGAGCTCTCTTTATCTGCTTCTTATTCATCACTGTGTTGCTCACTGGAGAGGGGGCAGGTTTTGCAGAGGGGTGTTCGCCCGGCCTGACGCGTCTCCGGTGGTGCTGAACAGGGGGTTTCCAAGCTCCCGAATGGAGCCGGAGCCGAACGTGGTGTTTCCAAGCTCCCAGTTTGAGTCGGTGTTAAACGTGGTGTTTCCAAGCTCCCGAATGGAGCCGGTGCTTATGGCTTTGCCAACGGTGAGGCTAGCCTAGGTCTTGCTGTAGCGCAAATCCGATTACTGAAATCCAGCATGTGCTGCTCTGGGACGGCCTCTCGACACGTTCTCCTTATAAAACTGAGTACAAGTTTAAAATATTATTATTGTCCCTCTCCCCATAAATGCCTCGTTCTCACTGTTCACTTAGATTAACAGTCACGCTAAAGAGATTCTTATCTAGGTAACTCTGGCAAAAGTGGTATTATGAGCGTGGCTGCACTGTCCAGGTAATTAAACAGCTCTGCAAAGTCCACCTGTTATTATTCTCTCTAAACTACCGTTTACCTCTTTTTGCAGATCTAACAGTACGATGTCAACTGGAAGGGTACGAACCAAAAAAAAGGCCTGTTCTTCAGACCAGTCTCCAGACAACCTGCCTTTGAGGAGTTCTGGAAGACAGGTATTTAGAATAAGTTAAAAATACTTGGCGTTATACTCTTGTGTTTTGTTGTTAACATTTATTAAAGAAAAGAAAAAAAGGAGGGCTTCAATGCGACGTCTTTGCATTGCAGAGTAGTTATGCAAAGGGAGAGAATTACTTATTCAAATAATTAGCTGCCTTCCTTATGAACAATATTTTGAAAAGGCAGCTCTTCAGTATAACCTGTAGACACTGGGTGTGTTCCAAATATGATCGCAGATCCCTGTAGAGCCAAAAAAAGGCCATTTGCTCATCTGGACTGAGGCCTAAAACAATTCCATACAGAGCACCTTCGAGGCCCAGAGGAGTGCTTGGGTACATAACTGTGTATCTGGAGTCAATAAAGCAAAGCAAAGAAACAACGGGTATTTTATTTGAGCGGCAGATGACAAACCTTTACCACCACCAGTCAGTACCGATAAGTAGGTGAAGAGAGATTTTGGTTTTCTGAAGCAGAGGGAGAATGAATGCATGAGGCTTGACTCATTCGCACATGATAGCGTTTAAAACCTGATTTAAACTAGAAGCTTTTCTTATAAATTCTGTAGTAGCATCAGTTAGACTTAAGGCAAGACGTTTTTAGATTTCAGTGGTATTTCTTTCCATCATTAAAAAAAAAAGAAAAGAAAGAAATGACCTACTTTGACAGTTGTTTCACGCTGCAGCTATTTCGCAATGGATTGAAAAGGTTTGATTTGTATCATTTTAACTGTTTGAAGCTGTGCCACAACCTACAGAGCAGTCTGAAGGCCGCGGTGCTGCAAATGCATCTGGGGCCAGATTTCATCTCCTCTTTATTAGGTAAAGAAGAAGACAGCTGAAGCAGCAGACGATGATGACGAAGCATCGGAGAAGAAGTATAGGAAGTGTGAAAAAGCTGGATGCACTGCGGCGTGTCCGGTTTGCTTTGCCAGTGCAGCCGAAAGGTTTGCTGCTTTTTATTTGCACGCCTGTATTCCTCGTTGACTTTCCTAAACTTACATTTGAGGTTCAGAATTTTAAATACACTGTGGAAAAACTTTCGCTTCCAAGTGTGCAGGGAGATCTGAAAGGTACTAAATGCCTCATTGCACAAGGAGGAAAATATCACAAATTCTTCCTTTTGCTGGTGGCTTTTCTTTTTTTCTGTGAATGTTGTTAATTCTAATATAGAATTTCTCTAGGATAAGCTTATTTAGATTATTATTGTTGTCTTTTGGCACGTACCTTGGTGCTGTGAAACTGAGAGGACTTTGGTGAAATTGGAGGAAGCTGAACTTGCTTTTAAGATGGAAAACGAAACCTGGGTTTAGTGCAGAAATTCTCTATCACTCCTGTACTAAAATGCTTTACAAGCCTAGGTGAGATTCTGAGCTCGAACCCTTAGGTGCTGGAAGACAGCACTACTTACCTGGCCCCTTTGTCTCAAGCAGCTCACAGCTTTGTGCACCTTTTTCAGGTGCTTTTTGCAGGTTAATAAACGTGAACCTGTTTGCTCGGGATCTTGTCCTGCTGGGTTAAGATTGTTAAGATTAACACCCAACTTGGTCACATGAGAAAAAAGGGCGACGTCAGTTTGTGCTCAGACCTGCGTTTATAGCTCTGCCAGTTGTCCTGGGGAGAATAGGTGCTGTGAGGACTTACCAATCGATGGGGCAGAGAGGGGAAAACGCCTCATTTAAACCCTGTCTCCCACCCTGTGCTAATACTGGGGCGAAAGGAAACAACCGGAGGGAACGTGAGCTCCTGTGCGGAGCAGCCTTGTGCTGCCGCACGCCTGGGAAACGCTCGGCCTCCCTGTCCTGCCCTTGCTCCCTGGGGAAGCTCCCGACCCTCTCAGGAGCTGCTCGTGCCACCAGTGCCTGGCAGCAGGGAAGGCTCTGGAGAGCAACGTAGGGGAAGGCCCCGTCCTGTCCTGTCCTGTCCCATCCCGAGCCTGTTCTTCATGTTACGGGAGGCGCTATTGTCAACAGGGACGCTCTGGAAATGTATCCTAATGCTATTTCCATGTCTCTTGCGTTACAGATGTGCTAAAAATGGGTATACGTCTAGATGGTATCACCTTTCCTGTGGGGAGCACTTCTGCAATGAGTGTTTTGACCACTATTACCGAAGGTAGCTTTGCTAATGAAGGGTGGAGCTTCTCAGTCCTTTCTAATAAGTTGGCAGACGTCACACCCATTGAGATGTCATCTATATCTATATGCATGTACACAAAGGATGGTCTTCTGGCTTGTTCTTATTTACTTATTTATTTACTTGAATTGGGGCTCAGATGCTCGGAAAACTATAGGTGTTGTGATAATGTAATGATCAACTTATAGCAGGAACAAAACCAGTTGCTTTTAAGCAGGCTGTTTTGTCTGTATGGTTATTCTGAAGCTTTAGGAGACATTGCATCTTTGTAAAGCCAAAACAGTGAGCATATGATGAATGTGTGCATGTTATTAAGAGCACATAGTGGCCAGGATGCTATTTACCTTAAGATACATGACTGTCTCCCTTTTTTATTAGGAAAAATACAGGACTATCTTCAGTTTCATTTCTCTGTCCTTATATAAAAAGTTTAATTTTAGAATAACAGCTGTTGCTTAAAATGAACTAGATCATTCGGTTTTCTAACTGCTTGCTGTTCTCCTTTCTCTCTCTTCTTAGCCATAAAGATGGTTATGAGAAATACACTGCCTGGAAAAGGATTTGGACGAGTAATGGTAAAAGTGAGCCCAGTCCAAAAGCCTTCATGGCTGATCAGCAGCTTCCTTACTGGGTAAGACAGAGAGGGAGTGACTTGCGGGTTAGGGTGTATTTCAGTGTGATGGTCATCTGAGAAAGGACACATTTATTTAAATTCCCTTTTCAGTTCCATCCTTTCTGCCCTTTCCTTAGTTCTCGCCCTGAAACGGTTTCTAATATTGCACTCGGGTGGCAGCTTGGCTGAGGTTTCACAGGGGCTTTCTGCTGTGTGAGCACCAGGGAAAGGCTCAAGGTGACGATTCTGGTCAGCTTCTCCACAGCCTTCTCCCGTTTCTCAGTAAAGGAGCAGCTCAGATGTGCAAATAGAGTGAGACATGGTAAGGAAAAGAGCGTGCGTAACCAGAGCAGGAGCGCGTGAGATGTAAAAACAAACACATAGGTTTTGTAATTCCATCGTAAAGGTAGGAGAAGAAAAGGAAAGACGGGATGGCAGGAAGTATTCTCTTAGCGGTGTGTGATCGGGTATAGAATTAATTTTGGAGTTAATTCTATGATGAAATTTGCTTATGGGGGTTGGCACAGGATATACAAATAGCAAATGTCTCGCTTATGACATGCAGATTACATGGGAATTGATTTAAAAATTCTATTTAACACGTGTTTAACTCTTCCCTCCCATTTACCCTCTCTCTTACTGGCCAGCAAGCTTCATTAGCCTTATCTCTGATCAGTAACGAGTAAAAACATGTTTGGTTTTTTTAACTTGTAGGTGCAGTGCACAAAGCCAGAATGTGGTAAATGGCGTCAGCTGACAAAGGAAATCCAGCTGACACCGCAAATAGCAAAAACCTACAGATGTGGTATGAAACTGAACAATTCTACTAAGGTAGGAGCCAACAGGTCTGCCTCGTTGAAACTAGTTGCTGATTTTCTGGTTTGCAGATGTTGATTTCTTCTTGTTTTCCTTTTTAATATTATTCCTCTCAGAATAACTTCAGAGAGAAGTTATTTCACAAGTTACTTGGAGAACCGCGTGGCTAAGAGTCCCACAAGGTGTTTGGACTCTGTTTCCAAGTGAAAATAGCAGAACAGAAAAGTAGAGAATCCTCTTTGTCTGCCCGGCCAGTTGTAAAATTTGTATCCATTGATAAATGTCAGTATGTACAAAATGAGCATACACTAAAATGCTCTGTTTTGCTCAGTACACTTTGCTATTGGGGAAAAAAAATAGAAAAGTTCTAAGACCTTTTATAAATTTTTAACAACTTTGTCTTGGAGCTTAAAGTTTACATTTTTGGCTTTAGCAGAAAGATAATCCCTGAAATTTCATAGGGTGCCATAGAACTTATACACTAAGAGACATGACATGAAAATGCTGCCCATATGAGAGTGTAAGCGTAAACATTTCACCTTGAAATTCAGTGATATTCTTTAAAAAACCCCAAACCCCTCTTATTTTTAGTCTAGATTGGAAGAATCCTTCTGGAAAATGTGGAATCTTCTCAGAATTTCTCTATAAAATTCCACTCTCCTTTTTTTTTTCTTTTTCCCCTGTTTTTTATTTTAGTGCTCCACTATGCTACTTAGAACAGGATGGATATTTTAATGTCAGATGAGTATATAGATCAGTATCAGGGTTTTTTTTTTCTTTTTTTCTTTTTCTTTCTTTCTTCTTTTTTTTTTTTTTTTGTATAACTTAAGATCAGTCCTGATATAATTCACTTTCCTTTCAGACTGAGGGCTCGGACCAGTGTTCTATGCCTGAGGACTTGGTGAGTAGCAGCTGTTCCTCCTCATTTGTGCTAGAGTGTAAAAGCAATCCTAAAGCATGGCACGTGCCTTAGTCCTTTGCCTGGTCGTGACAGAGTTTATGCATTTTGTCCAGGAAACTGTCAGTCACTGTTGGCAACAGAGCTTACGGCAGCCTACTGCTTTCTCTTCTTTTTCTTCACTTCCCATAAAAATAGTTTTCAAGGGGTTCTTGGTGTCCTTCTGTGATTCCAGGCCTAGTCCTAATTCTGCATTTTGAGCAGGCCAGGCAGTATTCAGTTGCCAACCTTCAAATAAAAATCCATTCCCCAAATTTGCAGGTCTTTCAGGTGGTGTCTTTCCTAGTTAAAGCTAGACATCTCTTTTTGTAACTGCACCAGAACATCAAAACATGTTTTCTCTCTCTTCCCCCTCGTAAGACAAAACTATACTTGGTGTTCTTTGCTGTTGCAATGTTTTTATAATAATGTAACGCTGCATTTCAGATTTTGTCTCATCAATTAACCAGTGTTGGCAAGCGTACCTGAGGTCCCTCTATTCCAGGAAACACGTTCAAGTGAATTACTGTTGACTCGTGTGGAAGCTCTGTGTTTTAGCTCCTTTAATGCATTTTTGATTTGTTAAGTCCAGGCTGAATCATGAGTGTTTGCTAGGGATGCAGGAGGTCTTTGATGGGGATAGTGGAATCCAAGCAAAACCGATCAGTCAGTTCGGACGATTCTCAGTTCAGATTTCTGGCTGCATAAACAACTGTAAACATTTTATCCCGGGCCTCACAAGGCACAGATTTCGTGTTATGGCATGTCTTGTCTGTTCGCTTTCCACAAGGGCGCGGAGTCTGTGGTGTTTCAGCTCCATTTCTGAGGAGCAGGTTAATGCTACAGCTTTCTGTGTCAGGCTGAGGAAGGGGAAAGAGGGAGAGAAAATGTCTTTATGACTTGCGATTCTGAGCCTGGTGCTTCTCGTGCTTTTTGGTCTGACTTTTGGAGGGCGGGGGGAATTGGTTCATTTTTTTTTTCCAACGTTTTCCAAGTACTGACGTGTTCTCTTCTCCCCTCTTTCCTTCACTTCTCCGCTTGGCCAGAGAGTGGCTGAAGTTTCAGACCATTGGTGGTACTCCATGCTCATACTCCCTCCTTTGCTGAAAGACAGTGTGGCAGCTCCCTTTCTAGCTGCATATTATCCAGACTGCGTGGGCATGAGTCCATCCTGTACCAGCACTAATCGGTTACCTGGTGAATCCAACATTGTGAAGTTAGAGCACTTAAAGAGCGTGCCTAATTTGACTGGTAAGGGCCGTCTGCAGGGCTCTGTGGCTTGAGTAGGTGTGGTGGATTTTGCCTTCTTGGGGCTGAGCTGCTAAGGCTCCTCAGCTCCTGGCTCCTGCCTCGGCACTAACCCGCGCGCTCTGTGACCGCCCCTCGGCCTCCTAAGTTACCTGCCCGTAACCTGAAGGTAACGCGTCTCTTCTCGCCGCGCTCCTGTTAGGGTGCAAGCACAGAGCGCTCAGGCTTCCCCACTACCACCTGGCGTTTGCTCACAGAAATGGGAAATTACCTTACGGGTGCTTAAGTGGTGTTTGCATTCTTAAGGAAATGAGGATCTATTTAAAAAGAAAATAAGAAAAAAAACAAACAATAAAACAAAACATGATTTTGCTAGTTCTGATGCTGAGCATCTCTGGGGCTTCGGTGAAGGCACCAGACTCCTGCAGGCATTCAGGTTCTCTTTACCTTAATTCTTTGTTAATGACAGCTTTGAGATTGAAAGCCTGGGAGTGCAAATCTTCTACTGATCTGCAAAGCAGGACAGCTAGAAACATGGCAGTTCAGGATTTCCATGCTCGTGCTTATTGATAAACCTCAGCTCCAGCTCAGAGAGAGGATTTCCTTTGAGCAAAGGGCAGTTTCCACATCCTAGCTTTGTTCTCCTTAGGTGCTGCCAATAAATCTGCTTACCTATTCAATAGATACCTGTCTGCTTAACAAACGGGGACAAAACTGGCTGCATTACCCAGAGCTACCAGTGCTGCATATGGAGGGTGATTCTGTGCAGTTTCTACCCACTGCAGGCAGTTTTGGGGGTTGAAGATGAGAGAGGTTCAGAGGACTGTGGGCACCTGCACTGCCTGCTCCAGCAGTGGCCGTCCTCATAGTCCTCAGGTTTGAGTTTAGATCTTGTCCCTTGCTAGGCTCCTCACGGTACCTGGGGCACAGGCTGCTTTTCTTACAAAAGGTAAGCTCGAATACGGCCAGGTAGGAGGGCACTGCGCAGCGCCAGGGTAGCAGAGGGAGACAGAATAGTATCAATGAAATGAAATCATTTGGAAGGAATCATTTAACTAGGAAGTACTTTGTTACTTGTTTATCTACTTGAGGGCAATGGGCCATCTTGGAGGGACAGCGAGGAAACAACAGAAGGTGACTAATTCTCTGTGTGTCTCTTTTTTTTTTTTTTTTTTTTTTTTTTTCAGTTGCAGGAATGAACAAATATTTCCAGCCCTTTTACCAGCCCAATGAATGTGGCAAAGCACTTTGCGTGAGGCCAGATGTCATGGAACTGGATGAGCTCTATGAGTTCCCAGAATATTCGCGAGACCCTACCATGTACTTGGCTTTGAGGAACCTGATTCTGGCTCTGTGGTACACGAACTGCAAGGTGAGCGATGGTGGCTAGGCTGTTGGCAAGAAAAAGGTGTTTTGGGGAATGGGGAGTCCTTCTGGGAAAGGAGCAAATGGAATTGCCTCAGTCACCTCCTTATATGGCACAAAACTGCTCCCATCGTTTAGAAAAATCAGTTCTGTCAATAATAATAATCAAATTTTAATTTGTTAATACAGTAAAATGCAAAGTTTTAAGCTATTAAAGCCATGTTACATCTACCCAGCTATAAACTTTTAAAGAACTGCTTTCGAAACATTTCTAAACGATGTTAGTGGGTGCTTTATCCATTTATTTATTTTGTCCATTTATTTGTTTTGATGTGAATGTTGGATAGTAACTGATTGTTTGCTTCTGGCATCTCTATGAGGCTGCCTTCAACAGAATTGCTTCTATTTGTACTTAATATAAATGAAAACTGGGGCCTACTGAAATTTCACATGTGCAACCTAATGGATACAGATGTAAGTGTGTGGCAGGTCTGGATATTCATCTATTTTTATTTCATTTTTGCTGAAATGCCATCTGTGAACATTGCTAGCAGGTAGATTCATGTTTACAATGAATTCCTTTCCATTTGATGCATTTCAGTGCCATTCCTGTAGCAACAGGGCATACCATGGAGTTCTCAGGAGTACCTTACAGACTCATGTTTTCTTTTTCCATGATAATCCTGCATGGTGCTTATAGGAAAGCTGGAAGAGGGAAACTGTTGGCACACACTGTAAAGCTGGCTGACAAAATACGTCCACAAACCCAGCTCCTATAGTGTTGTCAGAGATCTGTATGATTCATGAGTAACCCTTAACATCTGGCTTACAGTTTAAATATGTTACACCCACATGAAAGTATTTAGACTACAGACACTTTCCTTTTTTGTTTCTCTTCTGCAGGAGGCTCTGACCCCTCAAAAATGTATTCACCACATCATTGTTCGGGGGCTCGTGCGTATTCGCTGCGTGCAGGAAATGGAGAGGATACTGTATTTTATGACAAGAAAAGGGCTAGTTAATACAGGGATCTTGTCAGTCAGCCCTGACCAGTATCTCCTTCCTAAAGAGTACCATAATGTAAGTAGCTCTAATTATCCCTACTATTAGTGCTATAAAACCGAATGGCACATATCATATTTTTGGGACTTGTGTATTTTTTACTTTGGGTTGTATTTTTTTCTTTTTTCTTACCATCTGTCATTCAAATCATGTTAGAGTTGCATCTAAGAGCCAACGTTGCATGTTTTTCACACAGTTCTCACTTGCCTTTAATGGTTATTGAGACTTTAGACAACAGATTCTTGCTATCAAGGCATTTGTTCTCATGAAAATCTGTGCTTTCCCTGTGCTTTTTCTAAGTTCCCTTAGAGGGGAACTGTGTGAAAAACACACAGGACATTTAGGGTCTTGTCATGGTTTAATAATGTAACGTACCTGTGCTCCCATAGGTGAGGAAACTCCTGTTCCATGCTGGCTAACAAGAACAGTGATTAAAAAGTATATGTTTATGGCTAGCAGTTTGTGTGACACCTCACAGAAACTTAGCAAATGCACCCATTCTGTAACAGAAAATCTAGGAATAGTAAGTTATCTACATACACGGATATACACATGGAAATATACATGGAAAGTGTATTTGCGTGTTTAATTTATAAAATGTTCCTTAATGGTCAACTACACTTGTGTAGAAATCATTACAAGGTAAGAGCTATGCGGTAAGAGCTATGCTCTAGATTGCATTATTCATTTGATAACTTCAGCTGTTTCAGATAAAATGAGTAGAAACAGCTGCTTTTTTGAAAGTGCTTAAACTGTAACTGTTCTCCAAACTACAACTTGCGTTTTCTGTGTACTGCATGTACTATTGCTTCTAAAGGTTAACTGATGACTTTAGAGGACAAGAAAGCATAAACTTCTGAAACCTGCAGGTATTTTAACTTCAGGAAGAATAACATGTGAAATCATCTCTCTTTAAATTTTTCTCAAACTTTTATATGTTTATTTATTATTAGAAATCAGTCATCATTGTTGGGGCTGGGGCAGCAGGATTGGCAGCAGCGCGACAACTGCACAATTTTGGAATTAAGGTAAGAAACTTCAGAGTGCATCATTTAAAGAAAAATCAAACTCCTGCTTTGGAGTTTGTCAAAGTGAGGAAAAGACAGTCCTGTCAATGTATTAAGCATCCTAATTCATTTGGAAATTCTGGAGTTTTATTGAGTAGATCTACTGTTAAAACAAGTATTGCAGTGAAAGTTCAACTAAGCAAGCGATGAATTTTTTATGTAGACTTGGGTTGGAGGTTGCAGAGACGTGGATATTCACATCCAGACAATGGGGCTCTAGTTTATGATGACTGTTCTAAGTAAGAGAAAATTTTCATGGCTCTGTGCACTTTACCGTATTCTTGTTGTATGATCTGTTTGTTACGAACAGGTACATCTGAAACCGCATATGTTTCCTTTTTCCTTCCTAGTTATCATTGCCAGTTTTACCCACAGTGGTTACGTGTTGACATACTTTTACGCACTGGAGTATTATGAAAATCTATGGGACTCCTTACACATGTAAATGTTTGTGGGACTATTGATTAAGGAAATGGTTTTTGTGCATCATGTCCTGTGGAAAGCTTTTCTGAAGTAAAATATATAAAGATTAACTGTCAGAATATTTTTATATAAATGAAATATGCGACTATGACTGACCACAACCAGTAGTGAATGCTGAAGGAGGAATGCAAGAATGGTGGAAATATATGGGCAAAGGATGTTCTTGGAACATCCTAGGAATAAACTCCTCTGAAAGGCTCATGGACTGCCTGACATGGCAGTCATAGCTGAAATGACATCTGGATCATTTCATTTAATGGCTGTAATATGCCTTAGCCTCCAGTTTTGAGATCTCAAAAATGATGTCTTTAGCTTTTTAAAAAATTAGTTAGGGCTGTTCCTTAAGTTATGTCCCTATGTCTTAAATTGTTTTTGAAAGACAATTTAAATGCGTAAATGAAATGGAGGAACTACATTCGGAAACTAAGGATAAAATGTTAGGATTGTTGACATTAATGGATACCTGATTATTTTTCCTTCACCTTGGAGCTGAAAAGGTGTGTTGAAAAGAATCCAGCTTTACAGTTCACTGAGCTGTGTCTGTGTCCTAGGTCATTGTCCTGGAAGCTAAAGACAGGATTGGTGGCCGCGTGTGGGATGATAAGACGTTCAAAGGAGTCACCGTTGGAAGAGGTGCCCAGATCGTCAACGGCTGCGTCAACAACCCGATGGCACTAATGTGTGAGCAAGTGGGTTCCTTGCCGTGGTCGTGCCTTGTTATTAGTGGAAAAAAGTGGTCATTAAAGGCCAGCCTTGGGCGGGTGGGTACGGGTGGCAGTTGCTGCTTGATGCGATTAAAGCCCAGCTGTAAGTGAAGTTCTTGTTGTGGTTGTATCTTTGGTAGCAGCTGTGGGCAGAGCAGGGTGGTAGAGCGGTGTCGGGGACATCTTGTAAAGCAGAACGACTCTGCCTTGAGAATCAGAAGAAATTATAGTTTTGCCCTTTTCTGGAGACAGTAACACAGCAGGTCCCTGACAAGCCGATAGCTTTAATACAGGCAAATCCTTGGAGCTGGAAAGGGCTTTATGTGGGAGGCTATTGCTGCGTGTCTTAATACATAGTTCTGTAGCAGGCATGCTGCCTTTGGCCTCTATTTCTAGTTCAGCTCCACACAAGTTATGATTAAAAAGCAAAATGCAGTAGACTTCTGGGCAGAAAGCTGAATTTCTCCAAGTGAAACTTGAGTAAGAAGTTTACTCAGCGAGACATGTAGTGTTAACTGTTTAGCACTCTGTAGTGTCATGAAGAATAAAAATGTATTTTTTTCTTAAATCATGTTTTAGTTATGAGGTGAGGAGCAATGACTTCTGAATACACATTGGGAGCCCATCCCTATGTGGTCATTGATGCCAGCTTTCATTCAAAGTACAACTGTATCTTGAGAAGAGATCTGCAGTGGTGAGCAGCAGCCTAGAGATATGTGAGGATATGAGAAAAACTTTGGAGTGTGCTCTAAGTAACAAGGCTCTAGGAAGAAGTTAGTGCTGCCTTTTTGCTATTTTCTCCGGACTGACTCTGTTAAACATTTTAAAAGTCTTGATTATAACTGAGGTTTCTTATGTGTGTTTCATATGACTTGAACAAGCAGAGCAAGATACTACATTTAATTTAAAATCATTTCTTTTTCTGTTTGTGTGCTTAAGGAAATAGGCAATAACTGGCAATTTCTGAATTGCAGGGAATTATTTGGGCATGAGTCACCAGAAAGTTGTGCAAAATAACCAATATTAATGACAATCAGACAATAAGGGTGAGGTTTAAGTGAAGAACATGTTGGTTGATCACATTTGATTGCCAACCCAACATCTACATATTAGTCCTTGGTTTGATAATAAGGTTAGAGATGAGGTTTCAGGAAATCCCTGATATAGAAAAGGAGAGAGGAGTGGAAAGAAGAAACAAAATAAATAAAATAATGGTAATAATTAAAAAAAAATAAAGCAAAACAGAATTTGTGGAGAACTGAGAAAGAGAATGGAAAGGGAATTTGGTACTCCAGTTATTAAGATAATGAAAATCTGAGTTAATTTAACATTATTTCAAGTCTTGGATATTTTTAAGTTATTTTTTTGAATCCAAGGGATTCATCTAACTTTGAACAACTTTGAAAACGTTATAGTTTTTCCATGGCTTTTATAGTTTTTTCCATTACTTTCCAAAAAAGTAATAAAATGTCTTTCCCTTAAGCTTGGCATTAAAATGCACAAACTAGGAGAGAGATGTGACTTGATCCAGGAAGGTGGAAGGATAACAGATCCCACTATTGACAAACGCATGGATTTCCATTTCAATGCCATCCTGGACGTTGTCTCTGAGTGGAGAAAAGATAAAACCCAGCACCACGATGTCCCTCTTGGTGGTAAGCGAGATGTGTTTTTAACTGTGAACATGTAGCTGTCTGCATTATCATCAGAATTGGAGTTCAATAACAACTTGCCTTTTACTTCGTATGTTTTTTAGAAGAGTATGGTTGTATACGTGGCCTTAAATCCAGCTCTGAAACCCTGGCTCTATTATTGACAAAGAGAGCATGGTCATCAGATACACTTGGGCCAAAATGTCACATAGAATTTTCACAGAAACCTAATTTAAGGCTTTTAAATAATATATTACTTTGATGTAGTACTTTGTTTCCATGATCTAACCTTTTTTTTTCAGTATAACCACTGACAATAGCAGGTGATAAGACTTGCTTCTAAATAGCTGAAGCATCCACAGCTAGCCCTAACTCCCTGTTCTTTTTGACTAATCTAAGAGCTTGATCAAAGTCTTCTGCTGAAAAAGTGGTCCCATCCATCACACTTAGAGCATGCCAGTATATTCCACAAGAAAATACATTCGTGCTAGAAATAATTGCCTCCCAAATCTTTTCAGCACAGGTGTAAGAAAACTTGGTTAGTTAGTCCTTATATTCTTCAGTGAACCGTGAATCTTTCTTAGCTTTTTCAGCTTTGTAAAAGTTAAAGCAGAATCTATTTCTAAGGATTTCCTCTTATCTCGAGAAGGATATTTTCCTTGAGATATCATCAACTGTATATTGATGATGGGTAAACAATGATTTTTATTTCCTGACTCAGTTATACCAACTGTGCTGTTGTCGATGATGATGATGATGATGAAGACATAATTTTCCTTTCTGAGGAAAAGGGTATTTCTGAGCAAGCCTATGTTTAAACAAGAAAGCTGAGTTTTATCACCAGAGTAATCTCGGAGAAAATCTTAGTGCTTAGTTGCTAGTGAAGAGCTTGAAAGTCTTGTGATGCACAGAGCAGCATACAGTTATGTGATGGGAGTTTTGATGTACCTCACCACGTTCTTATTTTAAACCTGTTCCTGTGCAGAGAAAATACAAGAGATCTATAAAGCCTTTATTCAGGAGTCTGGTATCCAGTTCAGTGAGCTCGAAGAAAAAGTGCTGCAGTTCCACCTCAGTAATCTGGAGTATGCCTGTGGCACCAATCTCTCTCAGGTGAGTTTCCTGACAGCTGTGTTTTGAAGTAGTGCAGCTCCCTAGAAAATAGGGTTGGAAGTGACCTTGGGAAGTCATATCATCCATCCTGTGGCCCCAGGGGAGAATCAGTGATCTCTAAACTGTTCCTGCATCCCTGACCTTTTCTTCAGAAGTGTCCAGTGACGTGGATTCCAACACCTCCCAAGGCAACGTAGGGGGGAGTTTCTTGCTGTTTTTCCCCGGAGATCCTCTTTTATGCTGAAAGTTGAGCATAGGTAGTGCAGTGGAAAAGGGTGTTCTGCAGAGATCTGTGGTGGTAGCATTCACAGGAGAATGCATCTTCCTCAGATGTTGTGTGGGACTTCTCTGCTTCCCAGTCCTGTGTTGAAAACCTGACGTATTTCTCTACCTTGCTAGGTATCTTGAGAATAAATGCATTTAACTTGTGAAGTGTTGTCACAGCGTGACGGTGGGCCGTACTTCACTACTCCTAGGTATTCCGTGGACTGTGTGATACTTGGCTTTCCTCATGACTTCTCTTCTGATTTCAATTCCAAGCAGGTTCAGGAAATATCAAAGTTTAATGATGTTTGCAGTGGGTTATTTACTCAGCCATGCTGTTGATGTTAGGGACCAATATATTGCAGTAGTGGAATGACTGATGTGCGCAGATGCACGAGTATCATTTGAACGGAGAAGCATATATGAACATAACAAAAATTGACAAGACTGGGCTATGCCAGCCCAGTCAATGTAAAATACTTTGATTTCTCAAGCTTTCACACCTCGTTGAGTACCCAAGGGGTAATAAGAAAGATGTTAAAATCTAGCATACTTCACCTTCACTTTAAAAAATAAAAACATGAGGTACATGCATCTGCGGTGACAGGAATTTACATTTGAATAGCAGTCTGAGAACTTCTGGTTTTTGATTGTCAAGATGTGATTACTTAGTGCAAAGACCACTGCTGTAGCAGCTGTGAGTTTTGGAATGTGTCTTGAAAGAGCCTACAAAGTATTAGAAATTTGTGGTGGTTTTTTTTTTTTTTTTTTTTTTTTTTTTTTTTTGAATCTCCTCCTTAAACGTTGGGAAATAAAATATCTCTTTTTTTGATATCTGTAAATATTTTATTTGATAGCTGTTCTTTTTCCTACAGATAGAGAATGGAAGTAAATATACTACCAAAACACCTGATTTTTCACCCCTATTTCCTTTGTTTTCTATACCAAGAAAAAGTATAATTTATCTGCTGATGACCAGCCTCTCTTATGACATTTCTTAATCCAGGAATTTATGCGGCATATAGTGCCCTGGGGACATGAGCTGTGTATTTTTGTTGGATTTACTATATGTTCTGGTGATATATTTTTTTTTTGCAGAGGGAAATAGGGTGGGTGGCCTTTTATGAACTGTGGGACTCCTGCAAAGCACCTGTGTTGCCTCCGCACCAGAGGCAGCTCGTGATGCTCTGTCCACAGGTATCTGCACGTTCGTGGGACCACAATGAATTTTTTGCCCAGTTTGCTGGAGATCACACTCTGCTCACTGTGGGATATTCTACTGTGATTGACACGTTGGCAGAAGGCCTGGACATCCGGCTGAATTTTCCAGTAAGTCTGGATGAGGTGAATGCAGTGCCTGGCTTGCTTTGCCTTGAACCATTAAATCTTTTATTATTAATTTATTTTTTATACCTGGAAAATCATGTCCTGTGAGTATCCCAGCATGTCTTTAGGAAAAGAGAAGACAATTTCAGTATTTTTTTGGTTTAAATACGAGTATTCAGAAATTAAAGAATTGCCATTGTCATTATCATTGAGTGATACTATTTATATTAAGTCTGTACTGAAAACACATCTGTACTTCTGCATCCTAGGAATACAGTCTAAAGTTGGATTACTGTTTGTATTTGAACACTGTTCACAGATATATACTAATAAAAAGCCTGTTTTTGTGACTAACTAAAATTTCAAAGAATACCATTATTCTCCTTTTTTTAATGTTGGTAGCTTATTATCTCTAGTAATGAATACTGTCCTATTCCTGGAAATCCTGTTTGATGACTTTGATTACCAACACATTATAATATGATGAGCTGATATGTTAGAACTATGCTTTTTTTAAAAAAATTTCCCCCCTTTTTTGCTTTGTTTGGGTACTTCTCTGTAAATTTATATCCTTCGATATCTAGTTTACAGATTGGTGCTAAATTAGCTGTTCTTGTCTGTATCTGTATTTTACATACAGATTTTGTTTTATAATTTTTTTTTGCATTTATGTCTCAATAGGTACACAGTATAGACTATACTGGTGAGGAAGTACAGGTCACTACTGCAGAAGGGACAGTGTGGACGGCCCAAAAGGTACCCTCGATGCTTCAAATACACGGGGCTTTGTAGGGAAAGCGAGAGCAGTGTTGAGTGTAACGCGTGTCCCTCATTTTTCCTCTCGGAAGACTGTGCAGTCCCATTTCTTCCCCTACCTCCAAAGGTGAAAATTCCGATGTTCTAGTGGCCCATTTATGGATAAGCCAGTGACTGTTTTTCCCTGAACATGCTTGAATGTTGGATAGTTTTTCACTTAAAGAACTCAGTAGCTCCTGCAGGTATCCAAAAAGGGGAGTGGGGAGGGAGCAGCAAATGCATTTTTATCTGGTCTCTGAAGTGAGTTACAGGCTTTGGTTCCATTCCCTACTCAACTTTACATTGTATGACACATGAATGATGTTAGACTTGACACCTAGTGTTTCTCAGTCTTCCTTATTTCCTGATTTCCCTGCTGCTTAAGTTAGCTTTTAGTCTGCTTTTTTTTAAACAATGTGTAACGTTCATCAAGATTGCATGGACAGCGGCAATGTTACTGAACAAGAGGAAAACAAAGTAACAACCATCTCTCTTAATTTGAGAGGCACTGAATATAAATTAAATAGCAGCACGTTTAGCCACTCTGGAAGTGGCTGAATAGACTACAGCATAAAAATTAGTGACCTGAGACACTTGTTGTGACTTGAATGTGACATATGTGCAAAGCACAATCAGACGCTAATCCTGAGTTGTCTGGTGAGCATGAGGCTACATCCTACATGAAGAACCTAAGATAGTTCAGAGGCTGCTGTTAGGCTTAATGTGTTCAGCTTTTGCTGCTTTTGTGACTGTAATTATTTTTCCTCAGGTACTAGTCACTGTACCCCTGGCTCTTCTTCAGAAAAATGCTATTCAGTTTAATCCTCCACTGTCAGAAAAAAAAATTAAAGCCATTAATAGTTTGGGAGCAGGAGTCATTGAGAAGGTAAGTAACTTAACATTACTTTTCTGGTTTTGTGCAAAAAAAAAAAAAAAAAATTTGTTTTAGCCCTCTTGCTTTTCCTACATATTTCTCATGATTTATGTAAGTCAAAAGTATTTTCCCAGGGTAAAAGACAATGTTTCCCAAGAAGACCCCTAGTGAGGTGTGTACTTGGAACAAACAGCAAGCAAAGTAATGCCAGAAACAGTATTATATTAATGTGCAAATTTAAGATGAGACATTTTGCATTGTGTTTCTAAAGGTTTTCTGCTGAATTTTGCAGATGTTTTTCACAGCTAAGTAGTTTTGAGTTCAGTTCTGTCTGCCCCCTTCCAATATGTGAGACTTGAGCAGTTTCGTTTCCCTCCCTGGCTCCTGGTGAACAGGCCCCAATCTCTGCAGAGACCCCACAGTAGAAGTGGGTATCTGTAACTGAGGGGAAAAGAGAAGACGACCTGGAAGAAGAACAGGTATCATGTGCAGCTGTGAGCATAGAGGTATGAAAATCTTTGATCCTCTCTCGCTCTCTCTTTCCAGATTGCCTTGCAATTTCCTTACAGATTTTGGGACAGCAAAATTCAAGGAGCCGACTTCTTTGGTCATGTTCCACCCAACTCCACCCAGCGTGGACTCTTCAGTGTTTTCTACGACATGGATCCAGAGGTACCACGTGCTCTCTGTGTTGCTTGTTGCCTTTTCAGAAATTCTGTTTGAAATCTAGGTGGAAGAATGACTGAACGACGCAAGGGTTACTGTTTCCTGCTGCTACTGAAGAGAAGTGGAAGCAGTATTGGTCATTAAGGAAAAAAAGTGGACAGATTTGTAATTTGAGCATGAAAGATGTAGAATATGAACTTTCTATTGTAAGGTATCGTAGCTAGAGCACATGTTACTTTTCAGTTGGAAAATCTATTGGGCAAATGGTAATCAAAAATGACTTCCCAAGAAATTACTATCAATACTTGATATTGAAATTATGAAGAATTAAAACAAACTCTTTTTATTTTTATTAAGTGACCTGATATGCTAATGTCTTGTTTCCAGGGCAAGCAAAGCATTTTAATGTCAGTGGTCACTGGGGATGCTGTGACAACCATTAAGAATCTGGATGACAAACAAGTCCTGCAGCAGTGTATGACTGTGCTTCGAGAGCTTTTTAAGGAGCAGGTAAGAGAAGACTATTCTGTCAGAAGAATCAAATTCCCACCAAACTTAATTGGAGACCTATAATGAGTCGTTATTGCTTCACCATGTATAGGAAAATCCTTGAAATATTAGGTTGTTTTTCCTTTTATGCATATTTGAAGGGATATGCTTCCTTTGAGATGCAATAAAAACACAATGTCTGGTTTCTTATTCTGTGGAAAAATGTGCATTGAGGCCTATCTGAGGTCAAAACTGAAGGAAAAGCAGAAACAGATTTTTCTTTTAAGCACTTTTAGAAAGGGCAATTCAATCAGAACTTTTGGCAGGTAATACTAATATACTATTTGCTTGGCTCTTCCTTCCCTTCTCCTTGCCCTTCCTTCCCTAAAGTTCAGCCCTGTATCACCTGCTTGAGCTGCCTTGGGGTAGAGCCCCTACCCCCCATCCGTGGCCCTACCATCCTTGGCTACACAAGAACATTGGGGAAAAAATCCCTTCCCTTCTCCCAATGCTCTCTCTTCCCAGCTTGCCAGCAGGATAACAAATAATACAAGAACAAGTTAAATCTGGGGCAAGCTGAAGACTATCACTTAGCAATGTTATTTGCCCTCCACTTTATGGATCGCGCTTGAGTCTACGAGAAACGCCTGCCTGGAAATATCCGCCTGTTTGTTGATAATGGATTTTGTATAAGAGACAGTTGGGGGTCACAAGCCCTTCAAGAGTAAAACAGAGCTGTAGCTGGCTAAGCCTTCACAGAGATGTGATCCAGGCTCTTTCTGGTTCAGTTTGGTGGGATTTTTATACTGAATGACCAAGGACAAAAAATATTACTGTCATGGGTTATACACGCTGACTTTTTCTGTATTCTCCCCAAGACTCATTTTCAAACCATCCTGACCTGCTTCAATTTTATTGTGTTTGTGCAGGAGGTTCCTGACCCAGTGAAGTTCTTTGTTACTCGCTGGAGCCAAGACCCCTGGCTCCAAATGGCATACAGCTTTGTGAAAACGGGAGGCAGCGGTGAGGCCTATGATGTTATGGCTGAAGATATACAAGGCACAATTTTCTTTGCTGGTGAGGTAAGGTCCTTAGGTTTTGCTTATTAAGCTTCTTGGGGAAATTGCATCTTATGAAAAACTCTTTTTGTAATCAAGACTATTAATAAAGAGGTAGTGTGTAGGCGCTATTATAAATATGCTTATATTTTGTGATTTTTGACATCAGCAACCTCAGGCATATTAGTGCTTGGCATGGAAAGTCTCCCAAATAGGCTCTGAGTGGCTTATGTACTCGCATGGTGCAGAATATGATAACAAAATCCACTTAATATTTTGGTTAAAATTAATTTCCTGCTATTTCATTTGTGGATAACATGGCTAGAACAAATGCATTCTGCTGATAGTACTCGTGTATTCTATATTGAAAGATACTACATGCCTCACTTAAGGCACAGGTAGCAAAGCAGTTGACTCACTTTACTACCTGACTTGCAAATTTTTAAGTTGCCAAAATCAAAATATTTCTTCTTAAAATCTACAATATTTGCTTCAGTTAATTTCTAGTAAGGAACTTTCCATAGCTTTTAACAACATTTAGTCATTGCTATATGCTTTAGGAAAAATATAAATACATGAACATATGAACTAAAACCTGTTCTGTTTTAGATGTAATTTAGTTTTTTTTTCTTTAATACAGGCCACAAATAGACACTTTCCTCAGACTGTTACAGGAGCTTACTTGAGTGGGGTTCGAGAAGCGAGCAAAATAGCAGCGTGCTAAGTATTGAGATTTTGTGTTTATAGATATATTTTTGTTTTCTGTGAGCAAAACTATCAAGTTTCCTATTTTCTCCTTTTTCCTAAATGGTACTTAAGCGGTGTATGGTACCTGAAGATAAAATCTTCATGTTCCTTTTCCTGTTTTTTTTTTGTTGTTGTTCTTTTGTCCTTTTTTTGTCTTGTTTTTCCCTTTTAAGCCCTGATGATCAGTGTGGCTGTATTTCTGTTTTTTCTGTCCCCCCTCTCTGCCTTCCCACCCCCCCCCCCATTTAAGGTATTACTCTTGAAAGTGACATTGGGAGTCCCTGGCAAATTTACTGTATGCAGCTTTACTAGTTGAACCTTTGTTGAGAGTCCTTTTCTGTATGGCTTAAGTCATACTATTACAGACCTTCATTTCTGAAGGTCGTATTAAAATAATTATTAATGTACAGCATTAAAAGAAAATGCTGGCAGTTAGTAACAATGATGGGGCTTTTCCACTAACTGTGCTTCTCAGGTTGATTATGTTCATAGAAGTTCAAATGTGTTCCCAAAAGCCTGAACAACCTCCCCAGATTCTAGAATTCCTGTAAGAAGGATCACAACCATCTTTCTTTCAACTTGCCATCAGTAACCTCTTCTATAATGTTTCCTATGCTTATTCTCTACAAGTTGGGCTTCAGAATATCCATGTTGTTCCTTTAAGTGAGACTGCTGGAACAGTTTACAGTGCAATCATAGAAGGGTTATTGGAGTTAATAAAAATCTGAAAGGAAAATGCGAACTTTTACATTACTGTAAAAGCTTCACTGAAATACTCTCTGCTACGTATTCAGAGATTTCCTCATCACCAATAATAGGTAGCTTAGATTTGCCAAAGTGCTTCTGATCATGTAGGACAGCTTGAAAATATGGTTTCTAGCACCTTATTTGAAAGTGAACTTCCAAATTAGTCTGGGCTGAGTAGATGAACTATCTGCTGAAACAATTATGAGGGCACAGTGGAGGACAAAGAACTTCTAAGTTCTATGAGGGAAATTATTAACACTTTTATGAAGGGCCGAAACAAGGTAGCTTGCACTTTGAAGTTTTTTTTTTTTTTTTTTTTTGAAGTAGTATTAAAAAGGTCTTGAGGAAGTTATTCAGTAAGGGCTAAGTATCTCTTAGATAACTTTTCCATGGTGCAGAGGAAATATGTTTTAGTCAACAGAAATACAACAAGCACCACCAGAATACGGGTTCTAATACTGTTCCATTGATAACAATGACGATAAAAAGCTTATTAACAGCAACAAAGAATGAAAACCAGCTCTTACTTCTGTTCCTCCCCACCTTCTCTGCGTGGCCCTCGTGTTTCCTGGCAGGACAGTGAGCACTTACTCCTTCTCCCCTCATTCCTGTGCACCGGCTCTTTCCTTTGCTAACTCTGCTCCTATCACACTGCCCCAGCAAGCGGCTCTTGCATTACAGTGCTTATTTCCGTGGAGCTCTATCTTTAGGGGGAAAAACAAACAAACAAACAAGCAACCTTAAGAGATCCTACTGAATTAAAAGTCTTTCTTCTACTTTTTAAAAATACTTAATAAGTTGTTTTTAGAGTAGCCATGATGTTTGTTAAATATCCTTATTTAATCTCTAATTTACAAGGTGAAGATGTTTATATAACTAGATGTTTTTCAGATATATATTCTGTTTTGCTTCTTAAAGCTGAATTATATGGGTTAATTGGAAAAGTGTAACAGTTCCTAATTTTCTTCTACATAAATGTTAATATGTACAGTTCTAAAACATTTTCAAGTGTTAAAGTGTAATTTAAAGTTATAAGACAAAATCCTCTGGTGATAAAAGATAATCAAACTCCAGATTTTGCTTTTGGTAATCATTTGCACTTTGATAATTTCACATATTACAGGTGAATTTCTAATATAAGTAGGAAAGATTATGGGAGCTACATGTGTTTAAGATTCTCTGTTTCTTTCCAAGCTTACCACAGGGGACAAAGTTCATAAGAGTGCAGCTTGTGAAAGTGCTAAAAAGCTTATTTTTACAAGCCCAACAATGTTTATTTATTTAATGGTTGCTTCTGCTGGCACGGGTCAGAACTTTAGTCAACTTCACAGCGTACAGACACATTGAACTTTAGGTAAGCTCTGTCTGGAAAGTCAAGCTCGGCTTCCCTTTCAGCAATTCAACGCTTGTATGCACATACTTAATTTCAGGCATATGCTCCTGTGCTGTTAATTTGTACTTTGGACTTGTATTTGTCTATGACATACCACATAGAAAAATGCTATATTCTAAGGAAGAGATGGACATGAACAAATGTTGTCATATTTGGCTTTAGCTGCTGCCTACTTCTTATAGCACTAATAAATAAATAAATAAATAAATTTACCAAGGGTCTAGTCTATGAAATATTTGTATATTATTTTGGTGCTAAGGCACTTAAAAGTATGTTGTGCTGCACTTAACTTGGGGAAGTAAAGAAAACAACTATGTTTCATTTTAATTTACATTCATTTAAAATGTATAAGGACATCAGGCTGGTTCTGAGACTTCATTCTTAATTAATATTTCCAACTTTTTAAAATACCTATGTCAAATTTTATTTCAAGCATGTATGTGTTTTTACTTTTGTATAATTTATTCCCTTAAAATAAAGAACTGGGGGATGTTTTATGTGAGCAGATTTGTTTAAATGCTACCAAAAACGTCTGAATGCAGAGCATGATGTGTTTCACTTCAACTCTTCTGTGTGACTATGCTACAGCAGCAGAATAAAACTGGAAAGTGTCTATGGGATGCTCATGGGAGTATTATTATTACTATTGACATTTAATTAGCAGCTAAGCTTCTACCTTTGTTAAATCTGATACTGCCTCATGCTGTCATGTCACCTCTCAATTAGGGCCCTTCCTTACTAGTGCTGTTCTCAAACCCCCTCTGGGCTGCACATGTCAACTTTGCTCTTAGGTGGCCATTACCCTAACCCAGCATCAGACCCTTCTGGCTCAACTGTTTGCCAAGCAGTTTTAAGATTGTATCAAGTTAAATTTCTAATGAGTAAGGAAAATAAAATAAAATGAAAACTCTGTGTTAACTGAAGAGGTGGATAATCACTGGAGAGACACTTGATGCTTTTCACTCACTGCCTCTACCCTGAACCTGCTTTAGGGGCATGGTCCTGAAAGGGTCCTGCTCTGAGCAAACCCCTACAGCCTCACTGCGTACCCAAAATCTTCAAAATACTGAAGTCACCTCAAAAGCTGTACTTACTTAATACCATTCAGGCACTACTGCGGTCTATGGTGTTCTTGCCCAAGGGCAATTACCTGTTCGTTCAGTGCATACTCAGCTACAGACAACTTAAAAACACCTAACACTTGCCTTTTCCAAAGTGTGTTTCAAACCAGTTAACAGCTGCAGCTCCCAACCAACAAAACCCTTCCTCTGGGGCCAGGAGGAAAATACCAGTTCTCATTAGATTTTTTTCTACAAAGGACTGTTTGTGTGAAAAATCACTGATCTTAAAAGCAGGTCCTGATCTCCTTAAATCAAACTGAATGATAAACTGGCATAAAAACCTAAGGCAGTCACATTATGGGTAGAAGATCCAGCTGAAACTGCAACAAGGCTGGACACAAACAACACGATGCTTTTAAGGAAGAGGTAGAAGCTTTTCATGTTTTAAAATGCAGTTTATAAAAAGATTTTCCCCCCACCTCTCCCTCTGAACTACATTAGCACTAGAGGAAAAAAAAGAAAAAATAGACCCAGAAACGACAAAACCAGAGGTGGATACGAGGACCTGCATTTCAGCACAAATGCCTCACATGCAGAGAGGGCTGAGAATAAGACTTGAAGAGCTTCCTCCAGCAGAGATAAAGGCAACATCCTTGTTTCTGAATTACCATCTACTCTACATTTAAGCAAGCGATAAATCACCAAAACTGATTGGCATTTTTTTGTGAATGACATTTATTGAATACAAAAGGAAAAAAAAAAAACCTAATTACATCCAGCCTTATTGTAAATGATTACACTCAAAGAAATTAGAGAAGTATGTGAAGATTAATAGTCTGCGTGGCTGAACATTTGCAGAATTTAAATCACTTATGAACTCTGATTTCTCAAGTGTACAATAATAAAATTTAAAAAAATAGGCTTTGTCTCTCTAGCAGTACTACAGTCAGAAACTCATGGAATTATTAGCAGCCCACACTTTGGCATTTGCTGTTAGCAGTTCATAATTGTAAGTGCAGGACATCCCCTATTAGCAACCTGGCATACGGAGAACAGAAACCTACTGGGTTTTAAAAACAAAGTTTTCTACAAAGTGTTCCCTTTGAGCCAGAAAGCTGCAGGCCAGAGTTCAAGCCTGCAGAGCCAAGTACCAGTGCCTGTGCTGAGGCATCGTGGTGCGGAAGGGCTTCTACACAGAGCACAGCCAGCTCAGCTGCACGTTTCAGTGAAGCCCGTGGTGGAGGCCCCTTTGGAGGGTTTCCACAGCTATTCAGCCTCCCAGGGGTACCACTTGGCCAACCACTCCGAGAATTTTGGCTATCAAGTCAAGATACTGAAACGTAAAGAATTTTCAAAGTGAAATTTGCGTTTTTTTCTTACAGCCTCTAGGGGAGTTCTCTTTGCTAGATTGAGCCATTGAAACAAACGCAGCTGTAGTCTTTTGTACAAAGTTCAACACTGAAAAGCTTAGGTATAAAAACTACAGTTCGGATTCTGTACAAGGTAAGATGGGACAAACAAGTAGTAAAACCTCAGTTCTTTGTACAGGCTTCATGAAACATCTGCATCTCACTTTTCTTCCCAGCCTCCCTATTGAGCACTGACATTTCATATCATAAATCCTCTAAGAAAACGAGATTAAAAACCGATTTGGACAAAAGAAAACTGAAATAACTTTATATACACAACAGAAAGCTTTTTAAAAGTACAAAAATAACATCTATATGCAATTAGCTACCATGCTTTGACAGTTTCCACAGCACCTACACATGCAAGGCAGTTATCTACATTCAGAATAATTCTGCATCTCTAGAGTGTTATCAGAATATAAAAGACATTAAGATGTGACCAAGTCATTTCTTTTCAGAAGGGATATGTTTTCAAAATATGAGTATACCCAATACTGCAATATTCCAGTCTCTGCATGTATATGTGCAGATAAGCAGTTTTTATCCTACTTGACTTTAAAATCTCCTTCTGCAAGCTAGTAAATCGCTAAAAAGCTGTGATGGGTCTGCTGAATCTGGTTATACAAAGCAATCCAAAATGTACAAAAACTATAAAAAAGGGAACATTTATTGCCATGCACAAAACTTGAGTATGTTCAACTAAGAACTGCATCAAATGCAGTCTTTGTATGTTTTCTTTTTAAAAAGATACACAAAGCAATTTACATCAACACCTTTGACATATCAGCAGAATCAGTTCCAACTAAATACCACAAGGGTAAGAAACATTCCTTTTGCTGGTGCCTATTAGATCTTCAAATCCATGGAAACATAAAATCAGGAATCTTCATTTCCCAAGGTCAAATCAGATCATGAGATCAACTGAAACGAGAATTGTGTTAGTCTTCTCCCTTCTGTCAGTTCAATTCCTTGAGGCCTCTCCTGGAGCACCAGACTATTAAGAACAACTATCAAGACAACACCTACTACTTCTGCTACCGCAAAACAACAACATCCCTGCAGCAGTGAGGCTGTGCTCTTACTCCCTTCCTGATAAGGACAGACAGACACGCTATAAGAAGAGAGCCATGCGCCAACATCTGCAATGATGCTACAAGTGAGAAAGAAAAGCTTCTTACTAACTTTTCTACCTGAGTTTCAGTTTCTCAGTTCCATTTCTAGTTTTGGGGCAAACAAAAATAATCCTACTTAAAATTTTCCTTGCAAGGTACCAGTCACAGGCTGGGCAACACAGGCTTTGTCACGGATACATCGTGCCAGGCATCACGTCAGTGCAGCAAACACAAGAGCAGCATGAAGACTGTGGGATCAGGAGCACGAGGACAGGAGGCCAGAGGGGGAAAAGCCTCCCTCCAGCTCTAGCCCTTCAGGCCTTCTCCCATTGCTAGAAGCTGCAAACTCTGCAGAGCTCACCCACCCCCTGCATCATAACCTACATGTGCATGTGCTCAGTGCATGCATCTCAGGGCAACTTGCATCCAAGGTTGCAATTAAAAAAAGGTATAGCTTTCAGAGGTAAAAATATGCAATTCATTAACAATTATGACAGCTTTCTAATCCCCCTTAGCAAAGAAACTCAGTAACCACATACATGCTATGGAAAGAAGAAGGAAAAAAAAAAAAAAATCCAGGCCACTTGTTTTAGGAAGGATGACACAAAAATCCAGAGCCAGAATTCATATTTATCAAAAACTAAAGTTTAGGCTATATCAGGTACTAAAAAGCAGGCTTATAAAAAGTAACTTTAATAATATACCAGTTTTCAACAGGCTAAAAATACAGGAAATTTGCTAAATAAAGTCTTTACCTCTTTGACTGTTTCTTTAATGAAGCCTTTCCTGTCAGATAAATCATAACTAGGATAGGTTTCATAGACCTAAAAAAAAAAAAAAAAAAGATATCAACCTCAACAAATTACTTCCATTCAGCACATTACATGAATAGAAGCTTAAATGAAATGATGGCAGAAAGTGTTGGTTGTGGTGCTTCCAGCATTACTAGTCATGTAAAACAGCCCATGCTAACTATGATGGGAAGCAACAAACATTTCAACGCCCCCTTGTTTGAACTGCGCACATATTTAAACACACACACATTTTCTTTGATCTCATACTGAACTGGAACTATACTTTTTCCCATTAAAAAGGATAAATAAATAAAAAAGGGCATGTCCAGCTTGTGATGTCAGCTAAACATTAATTTTCTAGTTCTGCTTTAGATGCTTCCTAAAGAGTTGGATACTGTCTGCATTGGTGGGGGGAGCTAGACAAATAGCGAGGAGCTCCAGAGCCTTGGTACTTATTTATAGCAAGCAAAAAGGTGATTCTCCAGGTCAGTATTATAAAAGCCAATATATCTGAGGGCTATTCTCCCACTATTACTTGGGTAATTGGGGAAAATGAAACCAGATGTTAACAATGACAACCAACATAAAAATGATTATTTCAGTTTACCAACTTCCATGTTTCCAAGGAGGACTGTGAACACAACACAAAATTTATATGCATTATAAAGACACAGTTTTCTCATAACAATAACATCCAGTTTTATTTTCTCAAGACAACTTACTGGAAAGGCCACAAAAATAAACATGAGTTAACCGGTTACAGAAAGCGTCAAGGTAACAGTGTCACTCAGTCCCTTTTTTCGGGCCACGTGGTTCTGATTCCTTTCTGGGCCTGTCCTGGCACTCAAGGGATTTGTTGCTGAACTGATTCAGCTCATTAGCTCACCTGAGAACTATGCAGTGTTTGCTAGTGCAGGAGAGTTGAAAGGTCTTGCCAAAAGGCTGCAAAGATGACAGCAAGGTGAGCAGGCCACAGCCCCCTCCCCCCCCCACCTTGGTGGTGGCAAGTCCCAAATACTGTCACTTTATTGCACGGGGGCTGCTTTGGAGGCAATACTGCTACTTTCCACATAACTGATTTTTCCTTGGGGACTCCCTTTCTAGTATTGAGGAGATTCAGTGTGCTGTACATTAAGATGAGAGCTCTCCTCCTTTATCAGTATTGGCAAGCAAATAAATTGGTGCAAAATTAGTTATTTTCTAAGCATTGTGCATAATGTAAATCTTGATTTATGAAAGAAAAATGACAAAAGTCAGTTCACAACCAACCAACTGCCTGAAAAAAGAGATACTACCAAATCGTGCTTGCTTACCTCCTTGCAAATCTGTTTCATTGTAACCTCCTCCAAGTTTGCATTGGCCAACAACTTCTTGATAGTTTCCTTAAGCTCTTCATCCGTAGGTGGTTTCTTCAGCTTTTTAATTAATGGTTCATCATCTGAACTGTCCTCAGACTCGGTCTCTAAATAAGAATAACTTGAATTGTAGTAAAAGGTTTTAATTTTTTTGGCTTTCTTCCTCCACAACAGGTTCTGTATGCATGCAGAACCTATTTAAACATGCAACATATTTAAAAAACACTCATGTGCACGCATACAGAGAGTGGACACTGTTTCTTTTTGATTTTGTGTAAACATTGTGTTATTTTTTCATTGTTAGAAGAAAAGAAACATCAAGTATCAAACTAGGAATTGAGCAATTTGTGTCTTTACAGTTAATTCACAACTGAGTGCAAAACCCTGCTTTCTAGTAAGCATCCAAGATAAGCACTTACCTTTCCTAGAACTGTTCTGACTCTTTTTAGTAGTGCTGCTATCTGCTTTCTTGACATTAGCACCCTTCACAGGTTTCTTGGTTTTAGAAGGCGTCTTTTTAGATCTTTCTCTTTTAGATGCTTTCCTAGGAGGCTGTAAAGAAAAAAAGGAAGATTACGGTGCTGTTTCCAACTTGAGCAATCCATTTTTTAATCTTACTAAAGAAGCCCGAAAAGGGTTTCAAAGAGAATGCAGAAGAACAGAAAATACACTACGGGGAGAAAACCTAGGAGTTTTGAAGGGATCTTGGTATGGCTGCTTACTGTTAAGTTTCTGTGTCTTCAAATCCAAAACCAAACATAACATGTTTATGACAAACTCCAGAAGAAATGTGGAATCAAGATCTCAAAACAACATGGGTAGGTATCTCAGGAACCTCTACTGAATTCAAAGTTAAGTCTTAAGGATCTATTCAAACTATTAAAAAAAAATCTAAGAAGATTATATAAATAAAACTATCACAAAATGATAAAAATGCAGTGGATTACTTTTGAGAGCCTAAGAAATTGAAGAGGTCCTCTCTTTTCAACTTTCTGTTGAATATAGTACTTGTCTCCCAACTTTGTGCATTTCAAAAGCTACCAATAACTATTATATGCTTGCTAATTACAAAACAAGGTTTTACCTGAGTATTGAAAATGAAAGGACAAAACTGCTTACCTCCTCTTCGCTCTCTTTTTCTTCAGAAGAGTCATCCTTTTCCTTCTTCTCATCTTCCTCACTGCTAGATTCATCTGACAAGATCTCGGGACATTTGGTGCGTTTTGCCTTTCTTGTTGTTCCAGTGCTACTACGTTCTTTTTTGCCACCTTTGCTTGGGGTTTTTTTGGACTTTGGCAATGGCTGAAGAACAAGATTGTGGGTTTTCAAGCATCAATACAGAAGAGAATTTAAAAAGCATAAGTCAAAGCCTGTGAAATAATAAAGATCAAAGTCTCCAGATCTTTGTGACAAAAATCATAATATTTTATCTACTATATTTAGGCCACAGGATCTTCTAGTAGGCAGAAAGTCTTAGGACAAACAGGGAAGAGACTAAAATGAAATTTAGGTTCAATTCTAAGTTAAGCGCCCCTCTAGCCCTGTAACCTACCAGATCTTCCGAAGTTGGGGGATTAGGGTAAGAAGGCAAGGAAGAACCATCCAGAAAGAGCTACAGCTCTCTGTCTCCTCAACCCATGAAAGCAAGTTTTCCATCTTGCCAACAAAAGGGCTGACAAGGCTTCAAAAGATTTACAGGCAGGAATTCTGCTATGGATTATGCAAACCTGCATTTTATTATTGCACATTACCAGTGTCTTGGACACAGCAGGCAGACCTTTTGTTTCTATTACTTAGCAAAATTCCCTGCAAATATATTTAAGCTGCTGAACAGCAGTTTGACTATTTAAGTATTGTTTTGAGACTACAAAGTTGATGGTCCCAGAAGATTATTAACAGAGTTATGTAATCCGTGCATCTGGATCCACTCTGCGAGCATACACTAAGGACAAGGCTAATTGCTTCAGCCTTGTAACAAATTCTATTCTGTGATGACCATATGCAATCATGTACGTTTGCTAACTTATAGCCTACCCATATTTACATGAAAGATTTTTGCTGTACTTTGATGATTTATTCTTTGCTGCAATGCCTTCTTTCCTGCTCACACAGCATGTCTATTCCATTTGCCCACAAAGCAGAAGATATGTGTATCTCTAATTAGTTGAACGTACTGCCTACATTTTTGCATACCAGCAGCATACCATGCACGTTCTTAATGTAAAGTAACAGTTGTCCTCATCCTCATATACAGCAGGCATCTTTAACGATGACCATTACTCTCTTTCAAGAGATCACTGCTGATTTGTTACATTACAAGAGTAGCAATATCATCACTGATAAAGAGAACAGTAATAAGAAACACAGAGAACTGCATTTCCCACCAGAACAGAGATACAAATAGGCACACCATTTGCATCTCACCTTGCCTGAAGACTTTGGGTGCATTAAAAAGTTTAGGATTCTGGTTACCAGTTCACTGTTAACTCCTGATCTCTCCAAATCAAGAACTTCACAGATGCTTTTCAACATTGCATTCCTAAATCTGGTGGAAAACAGAAGAAAAAGACTCGTTACTACTCGTTACTACTGCTGCCGATGCAGTAGTTCTGCACATAGACACACTTCAATGCATTTCCAGTTATAGCACAGAAACATTACCACACTACGCAAAAGTCCTTTAAGAACTTTCACCAGAGTCTCTCACCTCTTTTCAGTTATCACACTGGAAAGCATCAATATTGGAAAACACATCCAGTGCATACAAGACTTAAACTTACAAGGAGGGACTGCAAGGTGAGGGAGATCTCTATTTTCTCTGGCTGCTTCTCCTGTCAAGCAAGTCAGCTAAAAATACAGGGTTAATAGAGAAACTCAAGTATCCAGCCCTCCATACCAATTAGATTTTAAATCACAATTCAACCACATAGTCAAAAAATATTAATCATCCAAGCAGCAGTGTTTCATATGTAACTATAAACAGCAGTAAAGCTTACGGTAACACTAGCTGACAAGACTCAGCAACTTGATCAAAAAGAGTGACACTGCAAACTGTTACATTTTGATCTTCAGAAAAACTTCCACATTTTGGAAACTTAGCTGCTTATTTAGTGAAAAATGCAGAGATAAATATATGTTTCACTAGTTCCTGTAGTTGAATATATTTACTTGAATGCAATTCCAGAGCTAAGATCATATATTTAAAATACAAAAAAAATCTTGAAAGAGGATGTTTTTAAAAGCACAGAAGGTGAAGCTGATGCACCAAGAATTTACAGTGATGCATTCACAGTATTAAGTTTGCCTAAGGAGGTAACATTGTCTCTCACGTAACAGAAGAGTCTCCTAATCCTCATATAATAAGAACAGACTGAAGGGCAGTAGAGGCCAACACATAAAATCTGCAGGACTTGTGAAGAAATTGTTAACCATCTTTAAATTGATTTTTAAGATGATTTGAAATTTACTACGTGATTAATCTGAGCTCTGGAATAGATCATAAAGACCTAGGAAAGACTCATTTAGCCGGAAGTTTAGATCTGTCTGAAGAAATTTTGTATACAACACAAATCAAAATATATTAAGTACTAATAGAGACTATTACTTTTTTAACATTTCTTCCTTCTTTTTGTATTGGTCACTTCCTTTTTCAAATGGAAATCCGCTGAACTGACCCACATTCTTCTTTAGGGAAGCAACCTGGAAGAGAGCACACAAGTTATTTTCCATTGCAAGTAGTTTAAAAGATTTCAGGCAACTCAAATTACGTTTGTTCAACTTATGTTTTAATACAGGAAAATCTAACCTAACTCCAACTTTGGTAGCCAAAAGTTACATCATTTTCAAAATTCCATTATATGGGTAATGCTTCTATTTATCTCATGATGATTGGGCCATAGCAACTAAAATAATAAAAATCATAGAAACTTAATTTCTTAAAATAACTTACCAGGTAAATCCACCTGCCCCTCAGAGTTTGGTTAGAATATAACCACATAATTATTTAAGATATGGATTTACTGTAATCACATGAAGACTGCTGCATACTTTTTATATAAAATGTTTTGCTACAGAACAGAATATATTTACTCTGCTGGAGCAGATTTACTTTGTTTACCTTTTGAAGTCTTGCACAGGGACATCTTTGGACCTTTTTTAATGTGTGTAAGACCAATTTTTGCATTTACACACAACCCAACTGACAAGTTCTAACATTATATAATTGTTGTCACAACAGCATTGAACTTTCATTGTCACAGTCCTTGCTAATGGGAAAACTACTTGAATCAAGATCCCCCAAAATACCTCCTCTTACTAAAAAAGTAAACATATTTATATTTCCTCAGATATTTATTCAAATTATTTCTGATAACATTAAAATTACTTTCAATAGTTTCACAGATTTTGCTTCTGGTGTTTCTTCATTACAATTTTTACCAAAGTTACGCTCCTTTTCCCAGGATAACTAACTATTTTTGTTCAGCAACTAAAGAAAATTTACGGATGACACTGGTACATTTTACTAAAAGGGTTAATCACGTTCCAAAGCACATACAGAATGGGCATCACATCAGACCACCACTGCACTACACAGCACTCTGAATTACTTGCAATTCTCATTAAATATAATTCAAAATGAAATCAGTTATATACTTCCAAACAGAATACCTTCTAAACAAATAAATATACTACTTGTAAAAAATACACCTCTAACCAAAAACTAAATTAAAAACTTTTGAGTTAAAACTCAACATATCCAAAGTCAACATAGCATTTTTTTTTTGAATACTACTTTTTCTGAATAGTACTATAAGCATCTGAATATTACTAAAAGCAGAGAAAAATAACATTCAGATTAAAAGATGGTCTGTGGAATATTGACTTTGGTCAACCAGTGATGGAGCATATCATATTTTAGGTTAGAACACAGGTGCTACTGTAAAATGAGTTTAGAGACAGAACATGTACATATATTGAAGAAAGAAACTTTCTATAATAAGAAAACCTGAAGATACATAGCTGGAAAAAGAAATACCTTTAAGTGAGAGAGTTCTATCTCAGTCACTTAAAGAGGTGGTGCTACTCAATATGTGAACAAGAGCTCCTACGGGTATATCAGGCCTCTACAGAAAAACAAGCAGATTGTTCAAAGAATGTACCAAGGGCAATGGTTTGTAATGAAAAATCTAAGAAAGGTGGAAGCCATGTGAGTCCCCAAAAAAACGTGAAAGTGTTGCTCTGAGATGTAGATTGTCCGTGTATATGAGAACCAAGTACTTGTACTTCACTGGCACTATGTATAAGACTCAAGTAGACTGATTTGTCTTAAGAGGCGTGGTGAGCAGTATGTAACCCATATGAATCAGATAACTGAAGGGGAGCTGGCGGCAGCTCTGGGGAAATGGAACCTTGCAAGGCCACCTGCACCTCAGTAACCATCTCAATAACATCCCATGAGGTAGCGATTGTCTGGGTAATGACACCAGAAACACATTTTGAAGAGCAGATGCATGGACACCTCTGGAAAACAGTGAAGTAGACCTAAGGACTCAAACCCACTAAGACATGAAAACAATCCTCCTGAACAAGTGACTAGACTTTCTTACAAGTCTATGTCCAAAAGACAAAGAGTGGGAGAATAAAGCAATAGTGCGTGGAGTTGCACCTAAATACTAACTCTGCAGGAGCGAAGGGTGACAAGTCGCATGTCAATCAAAATTACATATAGTTAATAAGATTTTAAAGTTACAAATAGTATTTCATATTTATGTGCAAAATTAAATAATTGTAAGTTGTCGACTAGCAGTTTGTCTAGTTGATTTGGTTCCCAGTCATCAGCAATTCATTTAGTTATCAGTAACTACATTTAACTACATTAATAATCAAGATACTAGTTTCTGAGCAATATGCTGCTCAGTTCATGAACAGTCTCTTAAATCATTTATGTCTCAGGGACTTCTAAGGACAGATGGGGGAACACTGAGGTGTCCAAATGAAGAAGGTACAAAGGAAAACAAACAAACAAACTACAAAAACCCAACAAAACAAAACAAAAAAAATCCAGAAAACCAATCATGGTAGAAACCACCAAACCACTGAAAAAAATCACACATTCAGCATCTTACCTTAAAATTGATACTGAAAATATCCCCCACTGAAGCATTTCAAGCAAAAGTGTTACTGGTCTCAAAGGGCAAATGGATTCAGTTTGATCTTTTCCACTATAAAGTTAGTTTAACTAGAAAGTGAAATGGGTCTGTCATTCCACCTTTCTTAGAAAAGAAAATCCACTGTAGAACTATCCAGAAGTTTGCAAACCTCTGCATGCATTTTGTTAGAAAGCCTCTAGTCTGGTTTATTTGCACACTTGATCAGCATCATATTTCACACACGCAAAAAGTTTCGATTAGTATATCCAGTTCTCCCTTTTCTCTGATAACTTGAGACAGTAGATCTTTGCTTTGCCATTTAAACAATGATTGTATTTTTGACAGTGGTCTGAGACATTATAACATGCATCTGTACTAATACTATCCAATCCTCAATTTCTATGCCACCTGATTTTAAATTTCAGAAAAAGAGAGATTCAAAATGAAATCCTGCAAGTATAGAAAGTGTACTGAAATGATAAACTTTAATTTACTTTAGTTTCTCTATTTCTTTAGTTCTATTGCTCCCTGCAAAGGGAAGGGGGAACAGACTTGGTAAATAGTCACGTAGTAAAACCCACTAGTGCAGGTATTAAACAACAACTTCTATATTCTTCAGTTTCTTTTATGTTGAACAAAAATAACTGTATTTCAAGTATTTTAACTACAATTTGCATGTCAGCAAAAACTGGCGCTCATAAGATAAACCAGTCTTGATCAGGCTTATAATGCAGTACTCTGTTCCATGTAGATTTTTAGGAAAGAACCAGTTTACAGGGGATAGAATAAATATGAGCTTAACTGACTGTTCCTGTAATATTAATTTCTTTCGTACATAGTTTGCCATAAATTATTTAAGAAATAGATCTACGCATGCAGTTGTTAAAATAAACAAACAAAACTATACTGGAAACATTTTTACTAATAGATCTAATAGAAATTCAGAATTGATTTTAGCTTCTTACGGTGCCTGGTCTGTTGTAGAGGAGTTTGTGTAGATTCCTAAGTTCATCTGTCTTCTTTTTACTCAAGAAGAACTGTATCCTTTCAATTTCACAGAGTTTTTGTCCTTTTCCTGAAAGGGTTAAGATCAGTTGTTATTCATCACATTCATGTCTACCTACATCTTAACAATTTAAGTAGCTGTTGTTCTTTAAAAAAAGCAAATAAAATGTTTCAGCATAGCATCAGACATTATAATATATCAAATATTAAGCAGCTCTTTTCCTAACAATAGGCATCTTGATAAAATCCTACCTGAAACTATCTAAGCAGGTATACACTGACTTGGCATTTTTTTTCAGTTCTAGCTTCCCCTGCTCCCCTGTCTTTAGTTATGTCTAGACACTGAAGTTCCTACTCCAGGCAAGCTTAATCATCTTTAATTTTTATGTTCAAAGGGGTATTGTTGTAGTTCTAATAGCTTTGTATTTTAATCTGTCCTATTACTCCTTTAAGTTCTGTCTCACCTACAAAAGAGTTAACGAACTGACCACTTATCAGGTTTCATTATTACCTGGTGTAATTGTAAAAGGTTCCTTTTGTAAGGAAGACACTTGCATAGTCAACCGGTCTACCTTCTTTTTCTCTCTTTTTCCTTCGACAATGAGACTCTTTTCTGCAAAAGACAGATTCCTTAAACATCATTTTTTTCATGAGATGAATCAAGCTTTGCAATGACAAGACAAAAAAAAATCATATAGTGAAGTACAATGGACACTTTTAAACCTTTGGCTAAAAGATTAAAGAGACTCAAGCAGGTGTGTACTGGAATCTAACCTTTGACAACAGAAGGTTGGGCCTTTCCCAAAGGGAGCTCCATCCCATGATGCAGACTGCCATGCTAAGCCTTTTCAGAAGCCCAACACAGTGGGACCGCCCTAAACCACACAGAGCTGTGCAGTGCAGCACTTCACAGAGCAACAAGATTAACATCACAAATACCAGAAAATATTATTCCCAATAATTGTGGTATTGCTTGGTGCTAGATACTTTTAATTGCTTTTTTTATACGCGGCACATCACTGTACCATAGTGATACGAGGTACCAAAAGGAGAGCTTCAAGGCTTTTCAAAGCTAAACATTTCACAGTGAAATACTTGACCTCAAATTACACTTCACACTATCTTTAGTGCTAAATGGCTGGGCTATTCTGGCCTGAGCATGAACATACTTAGAAGTGGACATGTATCTGTTGAAAACAGAAAAACACGTCTGCACATATGCAAACAGCTGAACTACAATTATAGTGTGATCTGTTGGCCAAAACCTAATTCTAGTTCCTCTAAGGTCTCCCAAACTACACTGTTGTTTTCTACTATTTTTCCTGAGGACCAAATGCAGCTCCCTTAGGAAACCAAGGCCATTGGTGACTCAGTTTTCACTCTGACATGCTGTAGCTCTATTTATACAGATATCCTCCTTGCAAAATAGAAACTTCACCATGGAAAGAAACATTTTTGCATAGAGATTTCTTATTAAATCTTGTATTCCTTAACTATCTTCTTAAATTACATGCTCCAGCATAAAGTCTTCCTTGCTTGCTCCTTCTATGGTGTCAGGATTAACAACTCTGTTTCATGCAAAGATACATCATGATTTTTATGGACAAACTTAATCATAGAAAAATATTCCAGTGTAACTAAGTTTGGATACCCAGTAACTTATTGTAGCTAGAGCAAGTCCACATGCTATATTATCCATAATATTTCCTCTTCTGCAAACACAGATCATTTCAATTACAGAGAAAATAAAAAAAAAAAGATTTTTGGATATGTATTTTTATATGGCCAATTTGATATAGGATCCTAAGACTCTGTGTCTTAGACTTATTTAAGTGTTTATCCAACAAAAAAATAGCCCAGTGCAGGAACTCAGAATGCTGGCAACTCCTTCAGGCTTTCCAAAAGATCATCAGCATCACAGTTTCTATTGCTAAGTCTGTTCTGTTAGAGCCTGCTGGGAAGTGATTTATGATCCATGAGATAGTTGTTCTGTGGACTCTCCTAAACCATAATTGTGATGGCACTCAGTAAGTCTGTATTTAAAAAAAAAAATTGTTCTGGGAGAAACAGATGTACCCTTTTCTTCCTCCTCCTCCTCTTCCTCCTCCTCTTCATCCTCATCACTTTCCTCAGCTTTGTTTTCAGTTTCAGGTTCTTTCTCATCTGCTTTTTCAGGTGACATTGTATCTTCTTTTGACGAAGCAACAGAAGACATAGTGTCTGGTTCTGCAAAAAGTAGTCAGGAAACTATCAAAAACATAATACTATACATGAGAAATACAGGAATTTTCCTTTCTACAAACACAAAGAAAGAAACAAACAAAACCCTCTAACATCATAGTCCTCTTGTTGTGATTGCTAACATTCTTAAGGCACATTCTGCAGCTAACCTGCTAGAGAAGAGTTTAAGAAGTTATCAGTTCTTTCCTCACGCAACAGCTCTAAAGTTTGCTTGGTGAAGTATTCAGAAACACCCCACCCCAAACCAAAGAACACCCCAACCCTAAAAATAACTGATACTGTATCCATTAAGAACTGTAATGCATTAAAAGAGCACAATCTTAGTGCACCGTATTACAAACCAAGCAGTTACTTCTGATCACGGTTAAATAACTTTACACACAAGTTTCCAAAAGAGTTTAACAAGCTACAAGTTTACAGAGGAAATGGAACATTAACTATATACATATATATATATAAAATAAGCATTTCATGGAAGAATTAACATTGCTTTCAGAATAAAAATAGATGCAATACATACAGCCTAAGCACAGATTAAAACCAAAAGATATTTTCAAGTCCAGAAAAAACAACAAACAATAACATACACACAAAAAATAAATCCACACTTTATACTTAACATATTTAAGAGAAGTTTTTTAATGTTTAGATTAGCTTAAATGTTACCTTTAAAAGTAAAACTCTCATTTTGGTGAGGGCCATCTCCCTGCTTTCCCTAAGAAAGCACGAAATGCCTAGCTAACTCCAGAAAACAGGCATATCTATTTATATTACAATGACTTCAGCTTTCAAAACCTTTCCCCACTTACACATCTGGAACAAAATCCAGTATGGGCTGTGTCAGCTGGCAGGGGTAGGATCACATGCTTAACCACCTTGCTCCAGTGTCAGGGCAAAGACACACAGGAGCTCAGGCTCAATAAACCGGGAATCAGATCAACTGCGCACATCTGGGACAAGCAAGTGTCAGAGAACAGCAACACACCGAAGAAAGGAAAAGAAAGAAGGAAAAAAAAAAAAAAAGAAAAACGGAGGGGGGACAGGAAAACTGCATTACCAAGAAAGAGTAGGGGAGAAGGAAGTTTGTGAAGTCGCTTGGGAGGAAAACAGATGGAAACTCTCTCGCTGGCGGTAGTTTGGCCCAGGAAGAGCAGCGCAACTTCTCCAGGGCGCCGCTCCGGGAATGTCACTTCCCGGCGCGCGTGACCGGGCGGGCAGAGCACAACAAACTGCCGCCACCGCCTCCCCTGACAGCGACGGCGCGGGGAGGAGGAGGAGGAGGGCGGGAGAGTGTCGCCTTTCCTGCAGCCAGGTCCGCGAGCGCCGACTTGCTGAGGGAAAGAACGCGGAGGGATCCGCTTTGGAGAGGAGAAGGCGCCCCGGGAAGAAGGGGCTTGCCCGCACCCTCCAGAGGAAGGCCGGAACGGCTCTCGGAAGGGCTGCCGCCCCAGCTAGCGGCGGCGGCCGCTCTCCCGCCCCCAGGAAACCGCGCCGGGAAGGAAAGGGAAGAGAAGAAGCCCGAAACGGCCATGGCGGCGGGACCCACCTCAGCTCCAGCTCCAGTCCCAACTCCTGGCTCCTTCCTCAGGCGCGGCCACGGCGCTAGCGGCAGCCGGAGGCGGCAGTTACCGGAGAGGGGAGGGAGGGCAGAGGGGGCGGGGCAGCCGCCCGGGCAGAGGGACGGAGGCGCGGCCGGCCGGACACCCCGCCGCCCCGGGGCGCGCGCGCTCCCGCCGCCGCTGCTCCCGCCGTCAACAAGGTTTTCAAAATGGCGGGTTCGCGAGAGGGCAGAAGGAAGCGGGAAGGCGGCGGCCAATCAGCGCCGGGCGGCGGGCGGCGAGGGGGGGGCGGCGCGGTGCGCGTGCGCGCGCAGGGGGCCGGGAGCGGGCGGTGCGTGCGCGACCTGCCGCGGCCTCCGGGGGTGACGTCAGAGCGCGCGCGCGCGCGCCCCCCCCACCGCGGGACCGTTGGCTGCGCGTGCGGGGGGGCGGGGAGGGGGAGGAGGCGGGGCAGAGGGAGGCGCGAGATTATTTTTATTTTATTTAATCTTTTTTTCAATTTGCTGGTGAAATCACAGACGGCAACGGCCTTAAAGCGGAAAATGCAAATCATTTACAGCAATACACACTCTCGGAAAAGTGAGTGTTCCATAAGGAGGCAGAAGTACCTCATTGTTTAGCCACAGGCTACAGAAATGGCACAGGGCTGGTGTCTGGAGACAACAGGCTGCTCCCGAGCGGATGGATGGGTTTGGGTTGGTTGGGAGCGAAGGTGGAAAACCTCTGGAGGGTGTGCTTGAGGTGGTGGGGATAAGCGAGACCCCAACCTTGTCAACAAGGACACGTGTCCTCCATGGGGATGATTCACCTATACTGAGCTTAACGTCCTACCAATATCCCAATAAAGCTGCTTTTGGGGAGCAGAAATGCAAGATAATGGTTTTATGGATCCCTGTAGAGAAGACAGAGCACTGTAATATGGGCAGACCCTGAAGCATCCAATTCACTCCGTGTTTTAGGGACTGGCAAATTCTTTGTGCAGGCAAATTGTATTTTGTCCCAGGTTTCTTTTAGCAGAACTCCAACCAATATGACAACTAACCTGTCTTGATTCTGGGTTTGGAACTTTCTGTGCTCTTAATGGCATATTTATAATTGATGAGTTTGTGGAAACATTTCAGTGCTGTTCGTGGTTTTGATCACGGGTCCCAAACAAAACTGAGGCAATATGGAGACTTTTAGAAAAGAGACCTTAATGATAGGAGTTGAGAGAAGGACGAGGCAGTTTCAGAAAAACAAAACAAAACAAATTTATGCATTAAAAGGAAATTGCTGAATTCAATAAAAGAGACTGAATCCAGTGCATTTTTCCATTTTTACTATTTTTAAGAATACACATTAACACCACCACAGTTTGGGGATACTTCACTATCTTCTGTCTTGCTATCTTCCCTATATAACCTGATTATGTTAATTCATTTCTCAGTTTCAGGTAAGATTTGAAACATCCAAATAAGATAATTAGATTGGTATAAAATGTTTATATAATCTAAGGTGTTTATGTAGTTAGTATAATGAATGGTACTAAGTGCAACTTAAAATCTGCTATAAGAAAGATTGTAGAAAAGATCACTTTGGATAGCAGAGAAAGTGGGCAGCATCAAAGTAAGTAACTCATGTGAGGATTTTTATTCATAAAGTGAAAAGCCACTGCAACAAATACTGCGATGCCGCTTTGTAGTGAAGTCAGCACAGTGGCTTTGTGCCATGTTTGAGCCATGTATGTACTCATACATACATACTTACATATATACACTTTAGTTTGTCCATGAAACAGTAATATGGCTGCAAACTTCCAGAAAATGACAACATAGCTTGTCCATAAAATGTTGAGAAAAATCCCATATAAATGTGAAGTCCATCACTACTATTTAAAAGCATTTTACGGCTTTTGAATCTAAGTGGTATGTAACTACTAGCAAAAGCAGAAATCAAAACATGAAATGATTATTGTGCTTATTAATATAATTTGCAAAATAGGAGAAAATCAATGACTATTTGAGCACTCTATACTTCATCTATATTGTGATGAGTAACTGTTGTAGAGTTGTAGAAATGATGTAAGCAATTTCACCCTATGTTAGAAATCCATGTGTTGGACATATTTCAAGGTAAGTCTATGCAAAGATTTAGCTACATTCCTAAGCAGAAAGAAGCACCAGATCCAGATAATGAGTCAAACTAGTAGCTAAGGGCACGTCTTCCATCCACGCGCCCATGACAAAACTTGGTGAACTTTCCCAGGCTTGAGACGCGCGCTGGGATTTCTGCTAGCGCTGCAGCTTCCATCACGTTACATCCCCTACAGCAGGGTTTGCAAACGGCGGCTCTGCGCGTGTTCAAGGACACCCGCTGCTCCTGCGTGGTGTTGTACAGCCACAGCCTTCCCGGCCGGTGGTTGTTACACAGAGCTGCAGACACCACCTGGGAGCTCTGGACGGGTGAAGGGGCTCCTGCAAAGTGACAGCAGCTCCTGCAAAGTGTTGGCCTTGGGAACTGCTGCTTTTCCCCGCTAACGCTGATCACGCAGACAGGTTTTCATCCCAACATGCGGCTCTGTTCAGGAACAGCCACCCCATCGGTGTAGCTGCTGCATGGGAGATCTCCACCTGCGGGGAATGACCACTCAGTGGCAAAACAGGGACACAAGGACCCGGTGGCTGCTCATGAGCAGCACGCGGATGTGCCAGTTAATGGGATAAATGTTATGTAACTTGCCCTTCAGAAATGGGAACGCTGCCTCTGCGTGCACGCTGTAGGGCTTGAGGCTGGGACCTTCCCTGCTGCCGGGTGTGTGGGTCGTGCCAGGGGCTTTCAGGCACAAACAGCCACAGCCAGAGCGGCTACAGGACTGGGGCAGCGGGAGCATGTCCAGAGCTGGGGCTGCAGGAGCCTCTCCAGTCTGGGGCAGCGGGATCCTCTCCAGGCTGGGGCATTGGGAGCCTCTCCAGGCTGGGGCAGTGGGAGCCTCTCCAGGGCTGGGGCAGCGGGAGCATCTCCAGTCTGGGGCAGTGGGAGCATCTCCAGTCTGGGGCAGCGGGAGCCTCTCCAGGGCTGGGGGAGCGGGAGCCTCTCCAAGGCTGGGGCAGTGGGAGCCTCTCCAGGGCTGGGGCAGTGGGAGCCTCTGAAGGCTGGGGGAGCGGGAGCCTCTCCAGGCTGGGACAGCGGGAGCATCTCCAAGGCTGGGGCATTGGGAGCCTCTCCAGGACGGGGGCAGCAGGAGCCTCTCCAGGCTGGGACAGCAGGAGCCTCTCCAGGCTGGGACAGCAGGAGCCTCTCCAGGCTGGGGCAGTGGGAGCATCTCCAGGTATGGAGCAGTGGGAGCCTCTGCAGGACTGGGGCAGCAGGAACCTCTCCAGCCTGGGGCAGGGGGAGCCTCTCCAGGGCTGAAGCAGTGGGAGCATCTCCAGACTGGGGCAGCGGGAGCCTCTCCAGGCTGGGGCAGCAGCAGCCTCTCCAGGGCTGGGGCATTGGGAGCCTCTCCAGGCTGGGGCTGCGGGAGCATCTCCAGGCTGGGGCATTGGGAGCCTCTCCAGGGCTGGGGCAGCGGGAGCCTCTGCAGGGCTGGGACAGCGGGAGCATCTCCAGGCTGGGGCAGCGGGAGCCTCTCCAGGTCTGGGGCAGTGGGAGCATCTCCAGTCTGGGGCAGTGGGAGTCTCTCCAAGGCTGGAGCAGCGGGAGCATCTCCAGGGCTGGGGCTGCGGAAGCATCTCCAGGCTGGGGCAGCGGGAGCATCTCCAGGACGGGGGCAGCGGGAGCCTCTCCAGGCTGGGACAGCGGGAGCCTCTCCAGGGCTGGGGCAGCGGGAGCCTCTCCAGGCTGGGGGAGCGGGAGCATCTCCAGGCTGGGGCATTGGGAGCCTCTCCAGGCTGGGGCAGTGGGAGCCTCTGCAGGCTGGGACAGCGGGAGCATCTCCAGGCTGGGGCATTGGGAGCATCTCCAGGCTGGGGGAGCGGGAACCTCTCCAGGGCTGGGGCAGCGGGAGCCTCTCCAGGGCTGGGGCAGCGGGAGCCTCTCCAGGTCTGGGGCAGTGGGAGCATCTCCAGTCTGGGGCAGTGGGAGCCTCTCCAAGGCTGGGGCAGTGGGAGCCTCTCCAAGGCTGGAGCAGCGGGAGCATCTCCAGGGCTGGGGCTGCGGGAGCATCTCCAGGCTGGGGCATTGGGAGCCTCTCCAGGGCTGGGGCAGCGGGAGCCTCTGCAGGGCTGGGACAGTGGGAGCATCTCCAGGCTGGGGCAGCGGGAGCATCTCCAGGACGGGGACAGCGGGAGCATCTCCAGGCTGGGGCAGCGGGAGCCTCTCCAGGCTGGGGGAGCGGGAGCCTCTCCAGGCTGGGGCTGCCTCGCGGGCCGCCCTTACGCTGAGCGCACCCCACTGCGTGAAGCTTCAACACAGGGAATCGGAGCTGCCGCCCGATAACCCAGTCACACAACTTTGCACCCGCGGCGCAAACTGACATTTTCCAGCAGACAGGAGGCTTTTCTTCCCCGAGCGGGATATTCCCCCCCCCCCCGCCGCTCGCTTCCCTTCCCTTCGCTTTCTCCACCCCCGCAGCCATCCCGTGGCGGCGGGAGCCCTCGCTCCGCGCGCTCCTGCCCTTGGACATGAATTTGCCCTTTGTAGGAAGGAAGGAGGGAAGGAGCGAGCGCGCCCGGGGCCAGCGCCGCAGCGTCGCCCGCAGCCCCTGTCGCCCCTGGCTCCCGGGAGAGGGAGTCGCCACCAGGATTCACCCGCCGGGGGCAAAGGTAGGAGCGGAGGGGCGGGCGAGAGCTGCCCGCCGCACCGGGAGCTGCCCTCGGCACCGGGAGCTTCCCTGGGCTCCGGGAGCTTCCCTGGGTGCTGGGAGCTTCCCTGGGCACTGGGAGCTTCCCTGAGCATTTGGAGCTTCCCAGGGTATTGGGAGCTTTCGTGGGCACTGGGAGCTTCCCTGGGCACCAACAGCTTTCCTGGGCACCGGGAGCTTCCTTGGGTATTGGGAGCTTCCGCAGGCACTGGAAACTCCCCTGGGCACTGGGAGCTTCCCTGAGTATTGGGAGCTTCCCTTGGCACTGGATGCTTCCCTGGGCATTTGGAGCTTCCCTGGGCACTGGA